CAGCAGGAGAGTCTGCCACATTTCAGCGAGAGCGTCACAAACCCTGAGCTGGACAGGTCACTCCACCTCACCAACAAATCAGGCTCAAAATCAAAAACGTTAATGCGCAAACTTCTGCAGTGACCCTCCAGAACAAGATTCGGCGCACCAGAGACAAATTACAATGACAATTTATTTCCTGTGAATATTCAGGTTTAGTGCAGATTGGGTTTAGTACGCAGGTTAGTGTCCGATCATGGCAGAAGAGAGGAGAGCTCACTGGTTATGACTGGTAACAGCTTCATGAATATGATGGGCTCATAATTATTACAGTGATAATTTGATGATAAATATGCACAGATTTCTCTTTAATCAGTTTAGTCTCTGAGTTTGCTTCTTTAGTTGTAGCACTGGAGCTACGAGGCTAATGTAGCTAACAGGCAATGGAAGCTTACAGCCACCAATTAGCATAGTGCATACAATCACCTAAACCCCTGCGTTGTTCAGTCTCTCTAATAGACTTGATTATGTGGCTTCTGACACAGCATGACTCACAGTTATCTATATACATGGACCTTATCAAAAACAGATTTAGCCACCTTTAGGGGTAGTTTGTAATGACAATAATGACAGATAATAATAATAATAATAATAATAATAATAATAATAATGTTTTTTATCTAGAACCTTTCATACATTTCAAATGCAGCACAAAGTGTTTACAAGGAGAAGGCAATTAAACACCAGCATAACGAAAACATTAAACAGCAAAACCTTTTAGCTACATTAGCCTCATAGCTCTACTGCTAATTGGTGGAGTATGAACTTTTATTACTTGCTAGCTACATTAGCCTTGTATCTCCAGTGCTAACTGGTGGGGTAGCATAGTGCACAACTGGTATAATTTGGTATAAATTGGTATAAAGTTCCAATACCTGTTGGCTACATTAGCCTCCTAGCTCCAGAACTAATTGGTGGGGTACAAGCTTCCATTACTTGTTGGCTACATTAGCCACCAAGCGCTAATTGGAGGAGTGTAAACTTTTATTATTTGTTAGCTACATTAGCTTTGTAGCTCTAGTGCTAATTGGTGGGGTTTAAGCTTCCACTACTTGTTGGTAACATTAGCTGTGTAGCTCCAATGCAAAGCGGTGAGGTATAAACGTCCATTACTTGTTAGCTACATTAGCCCTGTAGCTCCAATGCTAATTGGTGGGGTATAAACTTCCATTACTTGTTAGCTACATTAGCCTTGTAGCTCCAGTGCTAATTGGTAGGGTATAAACTTCCATTACTTGTTAGCTACATTAGCCTTGAAGCTCCAATGCTAATTGGTGGGGTATAAACTTCCATTACTTGTTAGCTACATTAGCCTTGTAGCTCCAGTGCTAATTGGTAGGGTATAAACATCCATTACCTGTTAGCTACATTAGCTTTGTAGCTCCAGTGCTAATTGGTATGGTATAAACTTCCATTACTTGTTAGCTAAATTAGCCTCATAGCTCCAGCACTAACTGGAGGAGTATAAGCTTTTATTACTTGCTAGCTACATTAGCCTTGTAGCTCTAATGCTAATTGGTGGTGTATAAGCTTCCATTACTTGTTAGCTACTTTAGCCTTGCAGCTCTAATGCTAATTGGTGGTGTATAAGCTTCCATTACTTGTTAGCTACATTAGCCTCGTAGCTCCAGTGCTAGAATTAAAGAAGCAAACTTCAGACACCAAACACGTCTCTGCTGACTGACGTTTAAGGTCAGAGGAGGAAACTGTGCACATTTAATTTCACTTTCACCAAACTGTCACTTTAATCCTTCAGTATCAGAACAGCGTATTAAAACACCCGACACCACAGACGTCTGACACTGGAGGTGTTAATGCAGCAGATCAGTTCAGAGCTGGGCCTTGTGAGGAGGTCAGCAGGTCCAGGGAACAAATAAAAACAGTGGAAATGGAAGAAAACAGAAACGGGAGGATAAAAAGAGTGAGATGATCCCAGCCGTGCGCCGCTGCTGCACTACCGGCGGTTTCCGCAGCGAAAGGACAGCAGGAAACGGCGGGCAGTGCAGCGGACAGACGGACGCTGGAGGGGAACCTGCATGCACAAAACTGACGGGAAACTGTTCTCTGTGGCTGCACCAATCACAAAGAGCAGGACGACAGGCGGAGGGAGGGACTGAGGGAGGGGCTGAGACTCAGCTCGCCGATGGAGGAGAGAAAGAAAAAAAAAAAAACGGAAAAAATGGTCATGCTGAACCGGACAGACCTTACATGAGCGTATGACAATAAATAATGGGAAAAAAAATAAATGAATAAATAAGGTTCATGATGACGTCCCCAGTTCGAGACTGCCTACTTTTTAATTAGTTTTAAAGAAACATCAGAGAAGAGCGAAAACTTGTCGTCTCCTGAACCCAAGACTTAATATTGCTGACTAAAAATAAAATAGAAAACACGAAAAATGATAAAAAAGGAGTAATACAGGCTTATTATCGAGTAATTGGCATAATTTATTTGAAAAATACTATCAAACATGAGTTAGTAGTTGTCAGAGTGAGAAACTAAGACTTTGAAAAAATATATACACTTATTTAATTCCTTTCTCTGAAACTTGATTCATGACATCGTATGTTTAATACACAGGCTTAGACATATTTATTAAAATAAAAGGAAATTATGCTTCTTCATTTACGGATGTAGCTGATTATATACTGTTGCATCTCTCAGTCCTACTCACAGTACTATAAAACAAATGGGATAAATAACTACTGTAGTACTAGAATAAACCACATAAATAACCCCAGATTATATTAATCCTGTACTCTGAAATGAACCAAATAAATAATCCTATTATATTAATCCTGTGCTATAAAACAAACAGGGATTATTTCTACAGTTTGTTTTATAGTACAGATTAGATTAATCCTGTACTATGAAAAAACTGTTAAAATAACCTCAGATTAGATTAATCACATACTATAAAACAAACCATAGGAATAATCCCAGGTTATATTAATCCTGTACTACAAAACAAACTGCAAAAATAATATCAGATTAGATTAATCCTGTACTATAAAACAAACCACTGGAATAATAATAATCTCAGATTAAATTCATCCTGTACTATAAAACAAACTGTAGAAATAATCCCAGTTTATATTAATCCTGTACGATAAAACAAACCGCATAAACAACCTCAGATTAGATTAATCCTGTACTATCAAACTGTAGAAATAATCCCAGTTTATATTAATCCTGTACTATAAAACACACTGCAAAAATAACCTCAGGTTAGATTAATCCCTTACTATAAAACAAACTGTAAAAGTAACCTCAGATTAGATTAATCCCGTATTATAAAACGAACCATAGGAATAATCCCAGGCTATATTAATCCTGTACTACAAAACAAACTGTAGAAATAATCCCAAATTATATTAAACCGGTACTGTAAAATGAACTGTGGTATAACCCCAGATTATATTAATCTTGTGCTATAAAACAAACTGTATAAATAACCCCAGATTATTCTAATCCTGTACTGTAAAACACTGCAGTGCTATTACAGGAATAACAGGAAAGATTTTTACTCATGCGACTAGCCTTCTCTTTATGGGGCACACATCCTGCATTTTTCCCCACTTACGCTGTTTGTGTAGTTGTACGTTGCAAAAACATCCTAAATTATTTTCTACAACATTTTCCGACCTCTTTATCCCTGTTTTTATTACTTTATAAATGAGCTCTATTCTCTCTCGTTAAACTGTATTTTGCCTCACTGGAAAATCATATTTAAACGGTTTTTGTGACATTGCGAAAACAGTGAATTCAAAAGCAGGTATTATGGACTTATATGGACTGGGGAGTGAACGGTACACTTTGTAACCCTATGTTTATATTTTACATTACACTTATTTATTAAAAAGCAAGGAGCATTTGTTTTTCATAATATGGACCCTTTAACTCTAAATTCGCGCAGAGATGAACTCTCAGTAGCTCAGAGATCAAACTGCGAGAGTAAATTCCCGGAAGTACTTTGAGAGTGAACAGTAACTGAGTTCTTTCTGGCATAAACACACAGAACTGTCTCGTTTTTTGGGGCCTGGCTGTTTAATGCTGGAGTCTGCTGCCCTCTGTTGGACTATTTGTGGTGAAAGGTCACCTACAATGTTCTGTTTCTGGTTCATGGCCTATTATATCATGTATAAACAATAGTCTGGCCAAAAAATCTAACTTACAGTCCCTCCCCGCTGTACTCAAATCAACCAATACAAGTTTGGCTGATTAACATGATAAAAACTGCACATCTAAGTATCACATACTTGCTTCAAACTGTGGGTTGTTAAAGAGGAATTCATCTGACCTTTCTAAATTCCTCCATAACTCAGTGTGTGAGGTGTATTCAGAGTGATTCAGAGTGGTTTGGTGTGAAATGGTTCAGATGTCTTTACAGTGGTGGTGATAGGAACCAGGGGTCGCCATGACTACAACACAAATATAGACATTTTATTTACTATCCAAAACCACCAGTGAACCTACACGAGTCTTCTGAGTTTATATGGAATGTTGATGATGGAAAATAGTGGAAAATCTGAAATAATCAGTTTTCTTTGGGGACTATTTTGCCTCACAGCGCCCTGCATGTCTCCCTCCACAATGAATGGAGTCTAAGTTCTCTAAACTATCATAAAACAGTGTCTCAGTCATCAGGCAGTGAATTCATAACCATTTCATGTAGGAACTTTCTGTGAGGGAGCTTTTAGAGGTGGACGTCTGGTTCCTATCAACACCACTGTCACAATTCTGACTCGGTAAGTTTATCTAGAACAGAGCGTTTCACACCAAACCACTCTGAACCTCCCTGAACCGCTCTGTTTACATCTTAACCGTTTAATTATGCAGAATGTGAATTTATGTGAAATATTGATGGAATTCCCATTCCCAATTGATGGAATGTGTCAATTTGATTTTTGGCCAAACCATTGTTATAACATAAATTTTCACCCCCTGCTCCCTCTCCTTACCCTCTCGCTCCTCCTCTATGTGGCTCATCCGGAGCACCAGAGCGTTCTTCTCCTCTCGAGCCTGGTCCCGCACTGCCTCAGCCTCCGTTACCATGGTAACCATGTCCTGCCACTCCAGAACCTGACTCTGCGCATCGTCCACACTGCCGGACTCGCTCGCCTGAGTCACACACAGCACAGGAGGAGGAAAAGAATGCAGTTTAAGAGTCTCTGTTTTTTGCTGAATAACAATATTACCTAAAATGTAAGACAGTTTTTCATTTTCAAAATAATAGTGATAAAACTTCATATTATTATTATCATCATCATTATTATCAATAGTAGTAGTAGTGGCAGTAGTAGTAATCTTATACATACATAAAGTTTAACACATATTTTAGTGTTTCATCAAATAAAGTAAACACATTTAACACTAAAATTATATGGGACTCTTATTATGAAAACCTTATCTTTCCTGTTGTGTGAAATTTCTGTGAGTGAAATACTGAGTGGTCAAATCTGAGTTCTCATTAAATTAAGAACGCAGTTTTAAAGTCTCAGTTTTCTGCAGAATAACATTAACAGCTAAAATGTTAGACATCAGTATAAAATTTACAAAATAATAATAATAATAATAATAATAATAATACTTTACTACTAAATTTCTGTAGCAGTGGTAGTTGTAGTAGTAGACAGTGTTTGATACATATTCCAGCGTTTAATTAAATCAAGTAAACTGACTCTTATTATGAAAGCCTTATTGTATTTTCAAAATAATAGTAACTTTTTAACTGTTGTTTAGAATACTGATGTTAAAAACAGCCCGTTATACAATCTCTTATATCAGTGTCCCAAAAACAAAAATAAATAACTAAATAAAAAGCTGCACAGCTCCATCAGTAAAGAAGTTATTTTATAATTGGTAAGCGGTTTGTTTTACATTCTGATTTTTCCAGTGAGACATTTCCAGTGCAGACATCCTGAAGGCTTTGCGATGTAATGATACACTAATTTCAACGCTTGCATGCTGTCAGGACACATTACGGTTACAAAACACCCGGATGCATTACAAATAACAAAAGCTGACTCCTAGTAAACCTCACTAAAGGAAAAATGTGGGCCCTGAGGTGAGACCAGCTGAGAAACACCGATCTAAAATAATGGTTCTCAAGCCAGTCTTGGATTCCTCACGCAGTGTTGCACTCTCCTGTTTTAAGACACCTGATTCAACTTAGCGGGTGATTATGAAGCGTTTATGAGCTGAGGCAGGAGCGTAAGAGCAGTGAAAAGGCAAACTATCAGTGGATGGAGACCTGGACTAGAATTTCAAACCTAAATCTAATAACTACGAAGTCCGGAAGGGAAAATCTGTCCCCGCCGTTTAGTAATCCGTACTCTCAGTTTATAAGCTGTACGTATGGATTTGTAAACTGTACTGTACTGAAATGACACTCATGCACGTGATTTCAACGTTGAATGTTCACTGGGCTATAGACAGCCAGCACTTCTTTCATATGTCAGGGTTTAACGTTATTCTCTTTGACATGCAATGTGCTCTCCGGGCTGAAACTCCACTCAGTCGTCGCTGGCCGCGTGGTGGGATAATACAGGCAAAAACGAGATTATTTTTGCCTCGTTTTAAACAAGTGCATTCACACCATTCACTTCTACAAAACACTCCAGTTAAGCAGCGAGGTTAAACTGTAATTTCATGAAATGTTAAAGCCACTGATAACGGTGTGAAAGATACAGCACAATTACATAACCTACCTACTTTCTGGTAACGTCTGCTTTATTTCACGTTAACGTTACTTGCTTATACTTATCTTTTCATCACGAAAGATCAACACAGTTGTGTCGTCCAGTTGCCTGTCCTCTTTCAGAAATGTCAAAAAATTCTCCATTTTCTCAAAATAGTCATAAGTGTGGCCTGTGCTGAGCTGTGGAAGGTAGCGTGTGCTTTACACAGTTAGCTAATCTGTGGGCACAGTTTCTAAAATTGAGAAATTGAAATTGAGGTCACAGAAATTAAATTCGAGAGTTCAGTTCACAAATCCGTCAGTACAGTTTGTAAACTGAGAGTACAGATTACTGAACTGCTGGAACAGTTTTTTCCTCCTCATGATCTTTTTCTCGTTAGCGACCCCTACTGGGCTCCGTAAATAACAGCACAAAAATGAGTAAAGAAATAAAAACTAAGAGCAACATCATGTGAGAAAATAAGCAGCACTGACCTGAGATGCGGCTCTCTTGGTGACCTGCTCCAGGTCGGCCTGCAGCTTTCTCTGCTGCTCCTCGTACACCACCAGCTTCGCCTCCAGAACATCTACAAACATCAAGAGACGTTACGTCTATCAAAACGATACACAACTTCTGTATTTGCATGTATTGTTTTTGGTACCGTTTTAAAATAAGACCACCTTTATGAAGGGTTGATGAATAGCTTACGATTAGTTTACTTAAGATTATTAAACTGGCCATAAACACCTTACAAACCATTCATTAGCAGTTATAATAAAGAAAGAAAACAGGTTTATTACATGATGAATATGAATGTGTGATGAATCTGACAGGTTTAGTGACTGATAGAGAAAACAGGGTAAGATCAGTAACAGTGTAGATGAATGTGGGCAAGTGACCACTAACATTTTTATTTATGTGCTATAAATGTATATTATTGAATTTTTAAGGGGTTTATAACCAAATTAACTTTTTAAACAACTTTTAAGCCATTCATAAACCCTCCATAAAGGCAGCCTTATTTTATTTTTTACTATTATTATTTTTATCTTTTCTTATATTCATTTTACACTATTACTGATTTTTGCTTGATATTTTTATATTTTATGTACTGTATTCTCTTCTGTTATAGTTCTGTTAGTCTATAACAGTTTCTCACTTCATTTCAGAAGTAAATTTAAAACTGAATCTCTATAATCTGAAGGTAAATATATAACTCATTTGTCTTTGTAACGAAGGAGACGGCAGCATTTTTTACCATTTTTGGCCTTGAGCTCGTCGTACTGTTCCAGTTTACACAGCATCTCCTCTCTCTCCTCTTCCAGTTCGGTGACTCGACTACGCAGGGACGCCACATCAGGGGTCAAGCTTCCAGACTGGGGGTCAAACAGAAGGACATCATTGTGATAAATATGGATAAATGTTTTTATGATCAATTTTTTATTAGTTTCTAACAGATATGTGTAGCTTGCATTCCTCTTCAGTTCAGACAAACATGGATAAGCAGTCAGAATTACAGTCAATACAGGTATAAATATAAACACTGTCACACCTAATATGAAAATAAGTATGGGGTGAGTTTTACAGGCATCGTCTAATGGACTAACACTAAACCTTAAGAGCTGATTTGATCGCATCCCACATCAATACTGTAGCTGATATAGCTTTGTTTATCATTGCGGCAGCAATCCGCCCTCCCTCCAGGCCTTGTACTCTTCCCGTGTCAGGAAAGGGGGCTGGGAAAATTACTGAAGACCCCTCAGACCCAGAACACAGTCAGTTTGAACCACATCCATGTCAGACCGGATCACAGTATTTAGACACCAGCTAGCAGACGACTGGGTTTCTCTATTCTATCATAGTGCTTGAGGGGTGAACTGCAGTATATCTGACGCTCGCTGTCTAAAAGCATTATCTGCAGTGTGAACCTCACACCAGACAAACAGAGCCTCCTTTTAGGTACGTTTAAACTGAAATCAGTGCTTTTTTTGTATTGTTTGATCTACAGTAGCATCAATTCACCGTGCTGTGTGATTGACAGAGCGCTGCTTCAAGTTAGCCAGCTGCTAAAAACAGCTATCCTGGGAAGCTAACGTTCTTCTACTCTCCACTGCCTCACATACAGAATCCTCAGTTTACTTCAGTTTAAATCAGGGCTGTAATTTACATGAACCCACTTTTTTTCCTTCACTTTTGCTGCTTGTGAATGCACTAATACTAAAATATGACTGAGCGCTGTAACAGTGCTGTAGTTGTGAGCAGCAGACGTGATTTAACGCTGCTAAAGCTGTTAGGATGTACAGAGAGAGGTGAGTTCACTGTAGGACAGTACAGATACGCCACTGACCTCGTCACTCAGACTCGGTCACAGGAGAACAGATCCCCAGTCGCTCCACTCAAACAAGGAATATATAACTCCACGTTTCAGACATTGATTAAGTATATTTGGCAACTCATTTTACTCGTCCCCCCTCCCTCTATAATCATGTCGTCAAACTCGGAAGTGCGCCCTCTCGTGGCGACAGCAGAGTAGATGAGCTGAAGAGTCGCTGTCCTTGCAGTAGAAAACGCCACCAGGGCTGTCGCTGGAACGTGGCAGTGTGAGAATGGTGTATTATATCAAACATTTATCGGATATTTCTCATAGCTCTACCGAGGTAAGTTATATCGTGATAATTATCAATATCGTTTTATCGATATTTACCCAGCCCTATATGAGGGAAAGGATTAGGTTTTGGGTTGAGGTTAAGATTAGAGTTAGGATTAGAGCCAGGGCCAGGGTTAGGTTTTGGGTAAGGTTAGGTTTTGCCTAATGGAAGTTACATATTCGCAATACCTCTACTTAACGTCAGTAATGTATCAACAGAACTTCTACAAGATATTTACTTCAGTGTATTCAGATGCTTCACTGCTATGTTGTTGACGTGTTACTGATACTCTGTTAAGAGTTTATTAATCATCTACAATCAAGGGCCCACTCCTAATAAAGTGTTACCTAGTAATGCAATAATATGTAATATTTTGGTCAATAATTAAGCCACACAATATTTTTGTCTTTGTTGTAGATGTATATAAGCTAGTTAGTTAGATGCAAATCATGTCTATTGTCTTACTGTTAGATATAAGCACTGTGTCATGGCAATCACACTGTTTATGAGCACTGTAACCCGGAGACAATGGTAACCATTGTTGCCATAGTTGCATATTCAAATTAAACCAATTATGTATAATAGTCTTTTAGCAGCGGTTAGACAAGCAAAGACTGATCGTTTTTGAGTTAATGTGAAAGTGAAAAACTATCATTTAATAAGCAGAGGATTTTTGTTAGCAGAAGTTTGGACGTGGACAATATACAGTTCCAGAACCAAGCTAATCCCACTGCAATCCCAAAACACGTGCAAATATGGATGAATGTTTGACGTATGCACTATATGGCTTTATTATTCTGATACAATACCTGAGCTTTCTTCAGCTCATCTTCAAGCTGCCTGATGCGAGACTTGGACCACGCTTTCATCTTCAGGAATTTGGCTTCTGATTTACTGGCCTCGTCTGTTTTCAGCTTGGCTTGGGCTGATTAACGACACAAAGAAAGAAACGAATATGAGGCAAAACAAAACATAAAGGAAAATAAATAACACAGTAAAGGATAATAATGATTTAGCTCAGTGCATCCACTTTTCTTTTTAAGCCAAGTTGAACAGTTTGTTAATTCTTTCTAGTCAGTTTGAAACAATTTAGGTAACATTTTCCATTCATGACAAAACAGATTCTGATCAGCAGTAATAATTAACATAATTCAAACTTCAAGATGCTGTTACTGTGTTTAGCTATGCTGATGTACTTTAGTCCATGTTTCTAGATAACAGGGAGTCACACAGTGTCAGAAACCACAGAATCAGGTCTATTAGAGACACTAAACACCTCCACACTGTTTGAGATGGGCGATGACAATGTATGCATTCAGTTAGCACCGTGCTCTAATTGGTGGGGTATAAGATTTTACTACACTCTTCAAAAAGATCCTGAAAGTTCTTCAGATTGATGGACAATGTACATACATGTGCTATAGACGGTTCTGTATCTTTCTATATCTATCTTTTTGAAGAAGGGTTCTATATCGCACCCAAAATGTTTTTTCTACTTTTTCTCCACAACTCTGACATTGTGATAACAGAAGAACCCTATGAGGTGCTATATAGAACCATTTCCAAAACCCTTTCTTGACGCAAAGAACCTTTTAATCATGCACAGGGTTCTTTGAGTGTTCATGGTTCTAACTAGAACTATTTTCTTTAGTAAAGAACCCTTAAAGGACCATCTTCTTATGAGTGCAGATGGCTTTGTGAAAAGGGTTGTAAGTAGTACAAAAAAGGGTTCTGCTATTGTTTGGTGCTATACAGAACAATATACAGCACATTCTCCTTCAATCTGAAGAACCATTTCATCAGGCAGAGAACCACAATCATGCAAAGGGTTCTTTGTGTGTTCATGGTTCTATATAGAACCATTTTCTTTACTAAAGAACCCTTAAGAGCAGTTTTTATTAGTGTAACCTTGTGGCTCCAGTGCTAAAACTAAAGAAGCAAACTTCAGGACAACAAACAAGCCTTTTCTGGTGTAAAGAGAAAGTTTTTTACTGATCATTCAAACACCAAAAAACAGACACTCTAGTCTTTATTTAAAATTTCTACATAGCTATCGGTATTTGAGCACTGCCCACTCATACCAAGACAAATATCTTTAAGCTAATCATCAGGGCTGAGACCACTTATCGATTTATACATAATTTGTTTTTTTCTTTTTCCATCTTGTATGTGTGATTGTCCTGAGCTCTGATCCAAGTTCTGAAACTCCAGTCCTGGTTTTAAAAAAAAAAAATCTATCAAATAGAACTACACTTTTAATTTCAGTGCAATATTTAGTCGTTGTGAGGACTTTTCACACAGAGTCATTTTTTATGGATGAAAACGCTGAAATTTTTAAACGCACTGAAACCAAACAAGAAACCAAGAAACCACTGAAACCATCAAGTCCGATATCATCACAGTCCACATAAAAAATGCATCTCCATTTTTGTCGATTTTTATTTTTCATATATCATTTGAACACGGCGACTGTCTTGTTAAAATTTCATGATGAACAGACCAACAGAAATGCTTGAAGACTACTGGAAATAAAATGTAAAATAAAATCTTAATTAACATTAACTTCCATTAAAAGCTTAGAATGTTTTCGCCTTCTCCTGTAAAGTTACTATTTTGGATATACATATATATATATATATACATATATACATATATATATATATATACATATACATATATATATATATATATATATATATATATATATATATATGTAAATATAAAATTACTGTTGTCAGAACAAAACCTTGTATCTCCAAAATGGTAACTTTAAAGGAGAAGGAAAAAACATACTTTGCTTTTAATGCAAGTCAATGGAACCAGACTTGCAAGTAATTTGGGGTCATTTCTTTTGGTCCATTTATCCTGAAATTTTGATACAATGTAAAGGGCAACAGGCAATTATTTTTAATTATAACGAAAAACGAGATACGAGGAGATATGAGGTTTTGTTCCGACAGCAGCGATATATTATATATAAATGATATATAAATATATATAAAAAACCATTGTCAATTTTTCTCTCTCTACATCATTGGAAAACGTTGACTGTCCTTTATATTGTATGAAAGATTTATGATGAATGGACTGACAGAATTACTGGATTACTTAATTAAGGTTCTTTAAGACTTAAGAAGGTTTAGTTACTATTTTGAAGATGCATGTTTTTGTTTTTACAGACAACATGCTTTTGTTGTTATTAAACAAACACTCTGGATGAGGAAAAACAGAATCCATCGCATTGTAACGTAAAATTATACATTTTTTGGCAACACCAAAACAGAACGGGTACTTTCACATTTGCTTATCATACATACCACACAATTAGCTAAGAAACCATACCTTCCAGCTCGGCCACCCTCTGAGTCAGCGAGTGGTCAGCAGGTCGATCTTCAGGTGAGCTTTCAGGTGCTGCAGGCTGAGCGGAGGAGCCTCTCACTGCCTCCAGCTGTGCAAGCAGGACCTGCTCCTTCTCCGACATCTCGCTCTCGTGTTTCTCCGCCACCCTCTTCAGCTCCTCCTGGTGTTTCTCCATCAGGTCGCGGACCTGAGTGCGCATGATGTGCCTCTCCGCCTCCATCTTAGACTGCAGGTTCTCCTTCTCGCTGTGCAGGAGCCTCAGGCGCTCAGTCAGATCCTACACAGGAGGACGAGAGGAGAAAATAAGAGCCAAGACACACCAAGACAGTTAGAAGCTAACACAGAAATATGCTGTTTGTCCTGAGTTGGTTGGTCTTCTGTGCAAGTATACCACTCACACTGCTACCCCCACACTATGGTGCGCAATAAACTCTCAAGAAAGAAAAAATAACCCTCGGTTTCTCAACCAGTGGGCCGTGAAGCGCCCTCTAGTGGTCCGTGGGCCTGAACTCAACAGTTTGTACTGGGCCAGTAACGACACTAAGTCATAAAAAGGGGCAAGAAGATTAACTTTATAATTAAAAATCTAAGAATCAAACGTTTTTAAATTGGCACAGTGGCGCAGTGGGTAGCGCCGTCGCCTCACAGCAAGAAGGGCCTGGGTTCGATTCCCGGCCGGGCAACCAGGGTCATTTCTGTGTGGAGTTTGCCTGTTCTCCCCGTGTCTGTGTCGGTTTCCTCCCACGGTCCAAAAACATGCAGTCAGGCTAACTGGACATGCCAAAATTGCCCCTAGGTGTGAGTGTGTATGAGAATGTGTATGTCTGTCTGTCTGCCCTGCGATGGACTGGCGACCTGTCCAGGGTGTATCCTGCCTTCTGCCCAATGACAGCTGGAATAGGCTCCAGCACCCCACTGCGACCCAGAAGGATAAGCGGTTTAGATGATGTATGTATGTATGCTCAGAACTGCTGCACCATTTTTCAAAAAGGTTCATCCGATTTCAAAATTATTTATTTCGCTTGTAAATCGTTACAGATCAGTGCAGTGAACTGTAAATGGTTTAAATGAGCATAAAGTTTATTATGTAATTGTACAAGGTCTCAGTCTGAACCTCCTCCAGCTGTACAGACAACATCAACACCATAGTCAGATTCACCGCATACTGGATTGAGCATGTCGGGTGTCGCTGCACTCACGGCTCTTTCAGTGCGATTTCGGAGATCATCCAGTGTTGTGGAACCAACGCCGAACGCTCTGAGCTGTTGGAGCTTCACTGCCCACGAAAATCACACTGCACAGTTACGACGGATTCACTCTTATTGAAGTGGAGAACGCAGAACGCTTTCTGATCAGGGGTCTCATCTCCTCACAGACTGAAGGGAGCCATCTTCCACTGACAGTCAGAAACTCTATGACCCCCTCTTTCAATTAAAATGTGATTGGTTCCTATACGCCTCACGGGCTGTAAAAATCATGGCGCTTCGAAAATCGGATTAATCTTCTTGAAATCACCCTGTATACTGCTCGCAATTTTTTATGCTTGTTATGAAGAAAAGGACCATAATAAACTGAGACGACATTAAACTAAGATAATACAGTGGTTATAGTAATTTTTAACTGAGAAAATTCTCACAGTTGTGGGTTTCTGTGGTCTCTTGTGCAGCCATCACTGTTTTTCTCCCAGAGAGATATCAAGTCAGGTTTATTATTGTTTATTGTGATGATGCTGACGCTGATCCAAAAGCCTAGTGAGTGCAGTGTGGCTTGGCTATTTTATTTGAATTTCAATTGTGTAATTTTGGTTTCTGTGATTGAACCTGCATTTCTGATGCCTGAGGCCAAAGAAAGGAACTGCTGCTCCATTTAAGGTGGAACGGGAAAATTAGAACAAGAAGCTGACGAATATCTGACTTCAACTTCATATCACTGAGGATTAGTTCCATTTAAGGTCAAACAGGAAATTTAGCTAGCTAGCTACTGAGACATCAGCTACTACTAGTGATTTTTATGCTTGTTATGAGGAAAATGACCATAATACACTGAAACAACAATAAACTTAGATAATACAGCGGTTATCGTAATTGTTTAACAAAAACAATTCTCACATTTGTGGGTTTCTTTGGTCTCTTGTTCAGCCATCTTGCTATTTTTTATAACACACTGTTTGGTCTGTGTCTCTGAAAAACCTTTGTTTGGAGGGTCATGTAGCCCCAACACTTCAACCTCTCTACCTCAACTACTATCAGGACCCCCTACCCTTAGACGTGAACATGAAAATGGAGGGTAGGGCTGAGTGGTAGAGGCAAGGGGTGAAATGGGACTGGGTCTTAGTCTCAGGCCCAGTCCCATTTCTTCGTTTTACCACTACCCCTTGTTTTCGAGTGTCACCCTAACCCCTTGGAACTGAGTTACCGGGTAGTGTTTGAAATCTTCCCTCTGAAATGGGACCCTCAAATAAAAAGAGCATCACTTCATTAACAGCTACCAGCGCTGCTCTGTAGGAGACCCTGCCAGTCTGCAGTGACAGCAGAGGAGGGTAAAGTTCAGCTCCTCACTGCTGGGCTTTAGTTACATTTAGGGCATCATATGCCTTCAAAGAGGGGGGCAGTTATTTATTATCACCACCCCTAATTCTTCAGTGATATGAAGCTGAAGTCAGATATTCACCAGATTCTTGTACGAACTTTCCCGTTCCACCTTAAATGGAGCAGCAGTTACATTATGGTGCTTCAGGCGTCAGAACCGCTGGACTATTTAAGGTGGAACGGGAAAGTTAGCTAGCTACCGAGACATTAGCATGCTATTTGTGATTTTTTATGCTTGTTATGAAGAAAAGGACCATAATACACTGAAACTACATTAAACTAAGATAATACGATGGTTATTGTAATTTTTTAACAGAGAAAATTCTCACATTTGTGTGTTTCTTTGGTCTCTTGTTCTCCATCTTGCCAGTTTTTCTTTTTTTCCTCATATCTCTCTGTTTGGAGTCTCTGAAAAACCTCCATTTGGAGGGTCATGTAGCCCCAACACTTCGCCCTACCCCTCTATCTCAACAAGAATCAGGACACCCTACCCCTAGACGTGAACGAGAAAACGGAGGGGAAGGGCTGAGTGGTAGGGCGAGGGGTGAAATGGGACTGGGCCTCAGTCTACAGCTTATTTCAAGAAGAAACATTTGCACTGAAACAGCTCGATCTGTAACAGAGTACTACTTTAGAGGCATCACCTTTATCTGCTGGTCTCTGCTGTCGACCTCACCCTGCAGGACATCGATCACCTGAGCTTTTCCCAGGAGAACCTCCTCCTTCTCATGGAGCTTCTGTTTAAGGGCCTTCAGGAGCTGAGAGAGAAAAATAGAGAGACTTGTTTATGTGGTTTCTGACATCATATGACACACTGTAATGTATAAACATAGGCTGCTGTCTGTTTCTGAGGTGGTCTAAGGCGGAGATGATTTGGACGCGTGGTTAGCACCATGCTAATTGGTGGTATCTCCAAAGCAGCAAACCCAGGAAAAATTGATAAATGTTCCTTTAATGTTTCTTACCTGTTCGAGATCCGCGCTGGCGTCTGATTTCGCTGCGAGCTTGAAGAGCTCCTGCTCGTGCATCTGATTGATCTCCATCAACTTGTTGTCTTTTTGTAAAATGATGTCTTTGAACGTTTGGATCTATGAAATGAAAACCAACATTATGGTGAAACGCCATGACTGGGAGCACCGACATATCAGCCTGAATTAGACAGACAGACAGACAGACAGACAGACAGACAGACAGACAAACAGACAGACAGACAGACAAACAGATAGATAGATAGATAGATAGATACAGAGAGATCAATAGAGAGATAGAGACAGACTAAGAGACAGACAGACAGACAGACATAGAGAGCAGAGAGATAGACAGACACAGATAAATAGAGAGATAGAGAGACAGACAGACAGACAGACAGATAGATAGACAGAGAGAGAGAGACAGACACAGACAGACAGACAGACAGATCTTACGTTCTGCTTGTACATGTTCTCCTTCTCCTCAAACTGCGCTTTCTCGGACACCAGCAGCTCTTTCAGGCTGTCGTTCTGCTCCTTCAGCAGGCTGTATCTCTCCTCCCCGTCTCCCTACTTTCTTCGTCAGGCTCTGAACCAGCATCTGCAGCTCCTGCAGTGACCCGTCCACCGGCCGCTCCTGCTGCAGAGACAATTACGATGAGTTACAAAGCAGACTGTAATCTTTTATGAATTACTTTTATGTCACATGTAAAATGTAAACGTTTGGTTGCACCCAAAACGTAAGGTGTGTAAGGTTCCTTGCCTTGTTGTCCTGAGGAACGTTCTCTGCTTTAGCTGGATGTTCTCCAGACATGGCCACCTGCAGATGGACGATGTAAGCCTCCTTCTCAGCCAGACGCTTATCTCTCTCCACCAGCATGGCGTCCATCTCCACTCCTCGCTCTCTCTGGGCTTCCAGCTCTTGCGTCTGAGATACAAATGAGGAGACGTTATACATATAAATATAAGCATAAATATACACACATACATATATATACACATGCATACACACACACACACACACACACACACACACATATATATAAGTAAATAAATGTAACCAAACTTTTTTCTAAGTAATTATATTGCCATCATATCTTCATCAGTATAATGTTGATTATGAGATCATTCGAGGCCTAAACATGGAGCCGGACCTTCTTTTTGAGTCCATACATCTGACGTTCATATGTAAAGATGTACGATGTGGAATAATGGAATAAAACTCCTACCAAACCCATCCTGGTACTTCTGACTGTTAAATGATTATTTCAGGCTTTGCAGGGCAACTCGCAGCAGCACACGCTCACCAGATTTTAGTGTGCTCTTTTTACTCCATACTCTGTAACGCTGCGTTCAGTTTAAACAAAATATATTATACAGTGCTACTTTAAAAAGAGTAAACCAAAAAAAAATCATCAGTGCAGAACAATGAAGAGTCTTTACTGCATCATGAAGCAGCACCAGCATATTTTACCTAAATTATGCGGCTGTTTTATCTAATAAGATACAAAAATCGTATTGAAACTTCCTGATATTGAACAATAAAGTGCTTGGATCGAATTTGGGCAGCAAAAACTACAGAAGTGAAGTTTTCTGTTTGTCGTTAAGTCTGCTGCACCTTCTGCTGCAGCTCCTTCTCTCTGTGGGCGAGCTGCTGCTCCAGCTCCTCCACTTTCTTCTTCAGCAGGAGGATTTTCCCCCGACTCGCTCCGGCCTGCTCAGATTCCCCCGCCTCGCCACTGCCGCTCTGCAGAGAGACAGGCAAACACATCAGTGAGGGTCACGCAGGCCACCCAGGACGTACGAGACAGTCTTCACGACAGAAATTACACTGATTAAGGTGGAGACTTAGTTCAGCCAAAAATGTGTGCTTCCTTAGTTTTGCACTGAAGCCACAAGGCTAATGTAACATTAGTGACTACATAACAGAAGCTCATACCCCACCATTTAGCATGGAGCTAACTGAGCTGAACGATTTTGGGAAAATGTCTAATTGTGATTTTTCTTACCAATACTGTGATTACGATACAAAATAGTTTATAACTGAGGTCTACATTGAGGTATGGGCTTTTTTTTTTGCCTAAGAATCCCAGCGTATATTTTTCCTGGCTTGAGACTTGAAATGTGGGCAGTCGTGGGCTGGAGGTTAGGGAACCAGCCTTGTGACCGGAAGGTCGCTGGTTCGATCCCCTCAGCTGATCAGTACGTGACTGAAGTGCCCTTGAGCAAGGCACCTAACCCCCAACTGCTCCCCGGGCGCCGTGGATAGGGCTGCCCACCGCTCCGGGCAAGTGTGCTCACTGCCCCCTAGTGTGTATGTGGTGTTTCACTGCATGGATGGGTTGAATGCGGAGGTCTAATTCCGATGTGTTCAAACACAGCTGGCTAAAAAAGGTTAATTTCATTTTTCATTTCATTTTATTTTTTCATGTTAACTTAGTGAACCAGCCTGCAAGTTATTTGTGGTTGTGATGTCACAGCACTTCAAAAGCTCCATGTTATTGGGTAAAATTTCCCTGCTTAAAACTTTGTATCAGCATTGTTGATAATAGACTCTAAGACTATGACAAAACTGCAGCTCGTGAATTGAAAAGTGCACTCTTTCAAATTGCGATTTGGACATAAAACAGATTTCAGCCCTACCCAAAGCCCGCCTGTTTCCATAAATCAGCTTTTTTTTAAATTACAAATTCCCTTTTCTTTTTCTAATCCTGAGAATTAGAGCCTGAAAAAGATCAGACAGGTTTAAATCACAGAAACCAAAATTTGCTGTTGTGTTAAAAAAGCATCAAAAGCTATTTGACAGCTAATGGCGCCCCCTTGTGGAGGATTTGTAGCCTGCAAAATGTGAGTGAGTTCCATGAAAAAGAAAAAAAAAACTTTTTAGAGCTGGAACCCTGCTGTAATGATTAGGATTTTTCTTATTCTTCCACTTCTTCTTTTACTCTATACTAAAAGGAATTACGCAATCCAAACCATTCATCGTATCAACATATGAACTGTGTCAACGGGTAGTGCTCCCTCCCGCTACTCAAGCGAGATGAGCCAGATCAGCCTGAAGGTTTTTTTTCTGAACAATACTGCTATTATGATTTAAAATTGTTTAAAATTAAGGTATAAATTGAGATATGGGCCTTTTTTGCCTAAGAATCCCAGCGTATACTTGAGACTTGAAATGTTAACACAGTGAACCCGCCTGCCAGTCATTTGTGGTGGTGATGTCACAGCAGTTCACAAGATCCATGTTATTAGACAAAATATCCCTACTTAAAACTTGCATATCAACGCTTGCATTTAAAACCTGCATCGTATCAATGTTCTTGAGAACAGACTGTAAAAATTGCACTCTTTTAAACTGCTATTTTTGATATAAAAACAATTTTTTTTGGTTATTATTCCAGAAAAGATTTATTCTTTTTTATACAAGCAACCTGCTACAATCTGGGAGCACAAATAATCTTGTTACACATAAAAACACACTTTTTTCCTGCACCTAAGGCTTCTGAACAGCTTGTAATTAAGCATGAAAATGTTACAACTTACCCCACAGGAGGGGTTAATTGAAATATCTGAGGGGTGAGTTGTACTAAAAATGAACACAGTTCAATTCAGTTCAGAATTCAATGTTGTTTAAACCAGAAGGGCTTTCCAACCTAAATATATGAAAATATATACATCAGAATAAATATGAGTGGTGAAAAGAGGCTCAAAACACTGACAACATATTTTTAGACCATAAAGCAGAACAGCACTGCATGCTAAAATTTAAATATACTTTACTAGACATGACATCTATAGAATGTTCTTGATGAATCTGTGAACATAAACTTCCAGAAAATGTCCCATCAAGCTAAATATATCCTGCGCTGCACTAAATCCAATTAAACAGGACTAATTAAGCATGCAGTTGTGATTAACCATGCAGTTGGTCTGTGCTCTGTAAGCACTGACGATATCTACAATAGACCCAGAGCAGCGTATTGTGACATATAGTGATGTAATTTATCACAATTAGAGTAAATATCATCGTATTGACCGGCCCTAGTCTCAAACTCTTACCCGTTTGAACTGTGGTGGCGTTCCCTTGCTCGCTGGCTCCCCCTGCTGCTTCCTCAGCTCCTCCAGCTGAGCGTTCAGCGATGTGACCTTCGCCTTGTTCTGGAGCCGCATCTTAGACAGCCTGGCCTCGCACGACTCCTTCTCAGCCTGGAGGACGAGTTAAGCAGACGCAGCACGTTAATGACCTCTAATCAGACTCGTTTACTGCTCCAGCACCTCTGCGTCTCACGCGCTGCTTCATCAAACGGACAAACCTCAATACAGACATGTTAGTAAAGGTTTATGTTTAAGTAGTGAAAGCAGGCCTGTCACGATTATTACACAACCGCCTCATCACAATTATTTTAGCTGATCGCAGTTATTTTTCCCCAAGCATATTGTCAATGTTGCAACAAAACTTATCTTAATTTTTGACATTTTTATTTATTTTTTTGCTGAATTAAAAGACGCCACATGGCATTTAGAAGGTGTTTAAATTTCATGGCACATGGACCAATAGAAATAATCCAAAAGTACTTATTATATTAACTTACATAAAAAGTTAAGTTAATGTTGCAACAAACAGAATGTGAATTTGTTGTTTTTAATCATCATTTAGGTTTAGGAAAACGCATGTAAATGCATTCATTTATAGACACATCACGGGTCTTAACGTCCGACTAGTGCTGTAAGACCTTCAGATGGCAGCAGTGAGGAGCTCATGCGGTTTTTGCTGTTAGTTGGGAGCTACTAATTATCAACAGTTAAAAAGGTAATTTAGCTTTAGTTTAAATACTTTAAAAACAGACAATTAAATTGTTAATCACAATATTTATATGGTAAAAAGTGCTTGTGAGTCGCTGGTGTGATTAAATCGAACGGCTGGCTCAAGACATCGCAGCATAAAAAACAAAGTCACGCTGAGAATTTCCATCTATCTAACTTTTCTATCTATAGACTAAGTAAAACAAAAATAAGACAATATAACTGATATTAAAATCATATTTACACATGCGCTAAAGTATGCAAAATGGGTTGAAGTGTTGCATTTATCTTTTATGTGACACAGATGTGTGTCTGTGTGTCAGTGTGAACAGATAAACACACTGAATCTGGCATTTTCAATTCTGATTTGAGACGCTTTCATATGTGCTACTGAAATCCGATACGCATCTGATCTGCTGCAATGCGACTCAGTCTGAACAGCCAGATCGGAATTCATGCAACTTTTACGTCAATCCAACTCGACATTTATCATCATTTCGCACAGCTGAGACTCAAACATCTGGGCTGATGTTTCTGTACCGAAAAATTAGAAGAGACTTAGCGCAACTGCTCGAAGAAATGTCCGAACGCGGCTGCAGGAGAACGAGGCTGCAGCGTCAAAGAACAGTTACAAGTCTGAAAGCAGAGTTTAAAGAATCCGAGGACGCGAACCAAAGAAGTGACCGCGCCCTTTTTACGGCTCCAACACATTCTGGGAGATGAGCCCAGCTGTCAGTCAGTGAAGCTTCATGATGGCTCCTGTGATGCTGGTGAAGATGAAGCTGATCCTCCGGGAGCGACTGGCGCTCGTTGGCGGTCGTGATTGTTTACCTCTGGATGAGCCGTGAAGCAGCGTGACGCTCTGATCTTTTGCTCTGTGGGTCAGTTTAGGAGCTGATCTGATGTTGCATACAGATCACAATTAAAAGATAATCTGAACAGCCAAACTAAAAACATCGGATTTGGTGAGAAAATCAGATTTGGGCCACTTTTACCTGCTGTGTAAACACAGCGTTAGCACCAGTGCTAAAACTAAAGAAACAAACTTCAGACACCGAACACGTCTTCACTGATCGACTACAGTTTGGGGTAAGAGGGGGAAACTGACGACAACCTATGGTTTTGAGAACTATGAGATGTGTTACCTTCAGTACCCACCAGAGGGCAGAGTCCAGCTCTTATGTTTTGGCTAGGAAAATATATAACAAACATCCTGATTATTTTTTTCCTTGTAATCTGTTTGTAGGGGGTCAAATATTTTCTGAACACAAACTAAAATACCCATCTCTACTTTAAATGTTGGAGCAGCTACTGCAGAACCACCTTAACTGCGCAGGGGAATCAGTGTGGAATGTGTGCCGTAAGTGCTGGTTAATCGTTCACAGTGTTTCTCCCAGGCTGCTAAGAAACCGTGTCTGCAGATAACACTGGAGCTCTATTGTTCCTGCTCTGAAAGGAGCCCCCATGCTCAGTCTGTACTTTGCTCTGGACCAGTAAACTCCACTACAGCGTTTTCAGATACGCTCCTCGGGGGTTAATGCTGTAATCAGAAACATATGGCTGTTCATTGAATTCCACTCCAACCTCAAAATTTAAACAGCATGTACTGATAAACATCTGCTAAACAACACTGACATTCATTCTGATAAAGGCCAGGTTTTCTCAACCTTTTCCACCCCACGGCTCGGGCTGAACGATTTCGGCAAAATATCTAAATAATGATTTTTCTGACCAATTTAAACTGGAATTGTATAAAACTGAGGTCCAAATTGAGGTATGAGCCTTTTTTTGTTGCCTAAGAAGACCAGTGTAACTTTTTCTGGCTTGAGACTTGAACTGTCAACACAGCGCACATTTGCGGTTGTGACGTCACAGCAGTTCACAAAAATCTCCCTGCTTAAAACTTGCATCAGGTTCCTGAGTGGCACAACCATCTAAGCGTTTGCTCTGTCATCAGATCGCAAGTTCGATCCCTGGTGATGCTACAGCCGTCCTGGCTGGGAGACCAAGAGAGCACAGCTGTCCTCGCTCTCTATGGGTGGGTAGGATGGACCCCCGTCTCCTCCATTACGTAATGTAACTCACTCAGAGTGAGTTCAGCAGTCCAATGATGTTGCACCCACCCCCCAAAAAAAAACAAAAAACTGATAATAGACTGTAAAACTATAATAAAAATTGCAGCTCTTGTGATATGAAAATTGCACTCTTTCAAATTTCAATATAAAAACAATTAATCTTTCAGCCGTACCCAAGGTCCACCTGTTCATAACTACAAAGTATTGCAGGTAAACTAAAATCAACTTTTTTTTAATAATAAAAAAAAAAAATATTCTTTTTCTTTTCATAAGTGCTCGCGCTGAAATCCTGAGAAAGATCAGACCAGTGCAATTACAGAATCCAAAACTTGCAGTCATGTAAAAAAGCAATGGTTCTGGTGACGTTAAAAAGGGGGAAAAAAAAGAAATCTATGATGTAGATGTGGACGGTGATTTGGAGCTGGGTAGCTATTACAAGAGTAATTGTTTATTCTCGTTACATCTCATTAGTTCTGAGTGGTTTTGTGATTAACTGGAAACAGCCAGACCGCATCGCTCTCACTGGGTCTGAATTAGCGTCGTCACAATCAACAACCATAATAACTCTCACTTGATATCTGCTTATTTGTCATTGGTTCATCAGTTTGAGTTAAACCACTCGAGCCTCTGATGCTCAGCCAAAATCACGCTCTGTGATCCGTGAGCCAAAATCAAACATGGATCTTCGCCGTTATTTTACGGCTCATCTGTCGTTTGTAAAGCAGCTTACAAGTGCTGAAAAAACGACATGAGAGCTGATGACAGCGCCAACGTGCTGCTAGAAGAGGAAAGCGAGCTCTACTGACGAATTCCCTTGTTTAATCATAGAAAAATGCGGTTCCATCAGCAGTGAACTGAACCAGGGTTGGTTTGGAAGCAGGCTGAGACCTCCGGACCGCTTTAGCTGTTTGCTGCAGATACGAACACAGGTGGAGTATTTTCACACACGTCAAAACGGACCGAACTAAAGAAGAAGTGATGGGTTCACCCCAAAAACGATATGGGTGAAAACCGCCTCCTGGTCCTCAGCGAGTCTAGAACATGCCTGATGTTTGATCCAGGGGGACAAGCTGCGAACTTGGGTCGCTGACGGGGAGGCAGAGCAACAAACTCTGTCACTCACCTGCCAAAAAGAGGCACATTTAAAAAGAGAAGAAAAAAGAGAAGGATATTATTTATAATATTATTTTTTATTATTCTATTTTTCTACAATTAGTGTTTATTTTTATGATTAGGGTTTTTTTGGTGTCTATTTAAATTCACACTTTTCCTGTTTACTATCTATTTATGTTGTTGCTACACCATGGGGTCTGAGAGTAACGCAGTGTCAATACTCTGTATGTCCTGTACATGTTGTAGTATTGACAATAAAGCTGACTTGACTTGAATATGGGGTGAAAGGGGCCTGAGAAGTCATGCCTGAAGCCACAGCGAGGTGGTCAGGTTTGGTTTTGCTAGTGCTTGTTTGGTTTATGTTGATGTATTGTGTGCAAATTAAAGAGGAAAAAGCTTCCAGCGAACGTCACTCCTGCCTCAAGTGTCCTTCACGCTCCTGGTGTAGCGCAGGTCGTGCTACAACGTTGTAGTGCCTGTCTTTTCCTGAGGAGTCTGTTTACCTTCAGCTGTTCATCTTTACTGTGCAGAGCCACGTCTTTCTCCCTGATCATCTCCTTTAACTGAGACACCAGCTGCTCCATCTGAGCCAAACGCTCCGTCACCTCCGAGAGGGGGGGGCCACCAGCACCAGCACCAGCCTGGGGGGAGCCGGGAGCCTGAGAGAGAGAGAGAGAGCAGCGTTAGATAGGAGGTTATGAGACGGACTGAGCGCAGAACCTTTCATCTCTGCTTTTAATGAGAACCTTCAGCTGGAAAACTACAGACTCATGATGTGTGAAAAGGAATTCACTAAGGTTCAAAAGGAATCACCGTTTTTAATAACAAAAATAATGTGGCTGTAGATGAACGTATAATATGATTAATATACTTAATATAAAAAGCATGAACAGGTGTAGATGATTCTGAAATGACTGAAAAGATATAGAAGATCAATAATGAAGTTACGATAAAATTAATATCTAGAATGTCATGTTTTTTAAAAGTGGAAACACTGCATATGTAAAAAAAGTTACAGTAAATATTTATCATTTAATGAATTCTTGTTGATCCCGAATGACTTCAAATATTAAATTTAAACACCTTTTGGTGTCCAGTTTATAGAATTTGAATCAACATTCTATTCGTTATTATTGTATATAAAATAAGAATAAAGTATTTGGCAAGTGATTCCAAACTTTTAAATAAGCAACATGATAAACACTGATAAAAACAGACAAAAACGCGTCACACAGCTAAAAACAGCAGTTTTGTCCATACGTCAGTCCATGTTTGTAGAAAACAGTGAGTCTTACAGTGTCAGAAACCACATAATCATGACTAATAGAGAGACTGAACACCTCTACATGCTTTAAAGTAAATCTATGATGATTCTGACAGGCAGTTAGCACCATGCTTACTGGTGGGTATATGTTTCCATTACATGTTAATCATTACAACCATCCTCTGCTAGGAAACCAGCCCTGCGACCGGAAGGACCAGTTTGATCCCCCGAGCCGACAGTACGTGACTGAAGTGCCCTTGAGCGAGACACCTAACCCCCAACTGCTCCCCGGGCGCTGTGGATAGGGCTGCCCACCGCTCCGGGCAAGTGTGCTCACTGCCCCCTAGTGTGTGTGTTCACTAGTGCAGGGTTTCTCACCCTGAACTCGGGGGTAGGCAGTAGTTCCAACCAGACGTCATCAGTCTGAGACGACGCAGCCACCAGGGTGCAGCACAGTTAGGCAGAGACTGATCGGTTCCTCAGGGTGTTTCTCCTGCCTTGTTCGGTGCGGATCTATCAGACTCTTTTCTTTAGTTCACTCCATTTTGATGTGTGTGAACAACCCCACCTGTACTCGGGTCTGAAACAAACAGCTGAAACCCGCTGGTCTCGGTCCGCTTCTAACAGAACCCTGTTCAGTTCACTGCTGGTTCACCGCATTTTAAGATGGAACAAGAGAATCATCAATAGAGCCGGCTTCCCTCTTCTTCTACCAGCACATCAGCGCTGTACCGTCAGTATAATCTGCCTGTTTTAAACGTCTGGCTTGTTGCTCTCATGTCGTTCCTGCAGCTCGAGCTGCAGCTCATTAAACGACAGACAAGCCTTAAAACAATAGCGAAGATCTGTGTTTGATTTCTGGCCGAACATCAGCGACCTGAGCAGTTAAACTCAGCTTGATAAACTAATGACAAAGAAGCAGAGATCAACTAAGATTACTGTTGATTGTAGTGACGCTGATCCAAAAGCGTGAGTGGACTGAGGTTTACTTCAAATGAGACGCTAAAACCATCACAACTGAAGAGACTCCAGACCAAACAGTGACTCCTGTGGGAGCCACAAGAGTATTTTCAGGGAAATCACGACGGACTTCAGCTCCAAATCACAGCCAACATCATTTTTTTTTCTTCTTCCCCTGTTTTGACATCTCTGCAAACATATGTTTTTTTAGATAAGTAAGATAACTGCAAATTTTGGTTTCTGTGATTGAAGTGAAGTGGACGATCAGAACTTTTCCAGGTCCTAATTAAGAAAAAAAAGGAAACTACTTAAAAAAAAAAAGTTGATTTAGTTGTTCTGTGGGCTGTTAAAGCCTTATAGTCATAAACAGGTGGGCCTTGGGGTGAAAAAGGTTGGGAACCCCTGCACTAGTGTGTATGTGGTGTTTCACTGCACAGATGGGTCAAAATGCAGAGGTGAAATTTCCCTGTTGTGGGACTAATAAGGGTCACTTAATCTTAACGTGAGCTACTTTTCACTAAAAGTGAAAGGACAGGAATGTGAAAATGAGACAAATCAATAATGCCTTTCAACATCCTCGTCTTTCAAAGCCACTCCTTGGGTTACAGGTGATTCTAAAAGCATTTCACATCTTCATTTCATTCAGTACATTCACACGCTGAACAATACAGGGGCTGCACCTGATCTGGGTTTATTGCAGGACTGAACACCTGATCAGCGGAGTCTCAGGGCGTTTTCACACATGGACTGTTTCAGCGTCTGAAGCGGACTCTGGGTTTTCTGTGCATGTGAACACATCAAACGATCTCAGACCCGCTAAAACAGCCCCATTCCACTTTGGCCCTGTGTTAAAGACCTCGAGGCTCACAGTACGCACAGCCACAGCGTTCCAGCACTTCAGCAGATAAAAACAGACCACCAAGGATCATTAGCCACGTTTACATGCAGCCTGATAATCCATTAACAATCCGACTAACAGCTCAATCAGAATAGAATACGTCCATTTATACAACAGTGAGTTCCGGCCACGCGAGCTGATTGGTTGAGAAGCGTTCTAACTGTGCTGTTATTTCACCATAACAGCTGTAGGAGACGCTCAAGACATTTGAACGTTTTTACTTCTTACTCTGCCACAAACAGAAAATGGACACTTTTAAGATCACATTTGACCGACAGCCGATTTGGTCAGACTCTGAAGATGAGACGACACTAAATTCCCAAACTGTCATCACCACTGAGCAGCTTTTCAGTCGGCAGCTGAGACAGAAGAACAGCTGAACAACCTGGAATCAGCCAGAAATGAACCCAATACCATTCGCTAAACGTGTAGTCTGATTTTCAGAGTCTGACCAAATCAGACTGAGCCATAAAACTGCCACAATATCAAGTTCAGCTCAGTTTTGTCAGTTTTTGCCAGATCAAAATGGGCTGTAAGATGCTTTACAGACTGGCTGGAACAAAACAACATTAATACTGATATTAAAGCGCTAGAACACTCGAGGAGTGTGTTATCGCCAATAACATCACAGCTGTGATGTTATTTCACTATAACACACTCCCTCTGTGTTCTACTGCTTAAATTTACTATTTATATTTATTTGTTTATTTATAATTCTTTATAGTCTTAATTTTGTGAAGGAGAGTTTGTGTATATTTTAATCTTATTTTTTATTTTTAGTGTAATATATTCTGTCTACAAGGTAACAAGTAACAAACTGTAAATACCTTATTAAATAATTAACAAGGTTAATTACTTGCTTGTTAATTCTCTTCTTGTTATGTCTTTTCTTGAGTGCCTTGCTCTCCCTTCGCTGCTGTAACACTGAGAATTTCCCCGTTGTGGGACTAATAAAGGATTCTCTTATCTCAATTTTAAGAATCTCCTGGCTGGGAGTTTTGTTTCAGACTCAGAGCTGAGAGAGGCTGAGACTGCCTGACGTTAACTGAAGGGAACTGAACAAATCTGAGCTTTGTTTGGTTAAAATTGTGGAACTGATCTTCAGCAATATGACCTCAGATCCGAGTTACTGAGCCCTGATCCGCCACATTTAACCTGAAACTGTGCCCAGACTTCCCCTTTCTTCTCAGGAGCAGGTTAAAAAACCTCAGAAGCTGATGTTTATGCAGGGACAGGTCAATAAAAAAAGGCATGAAACACAAAAAAAAATTAAATTAAATAAAAAAAATCATTTTAAAAAAGAAATTCAAGATTCTGTGAAAATATAAGAGAAAATTTATTCAAATAAAATGCAAAAAAGCAAAAATAAAGCTGGCTAGATTCGATCACAGTTATTCGATCACAAGAGGAAGAGGAACGCGAGCAGCTGACGTACGCATGTGGCTATATTCGCAGACCTGATGTCGCCTGCGTCAAATCTAGTCCCGCCCACCTCAAATCAAACTGAACGGCAGAGAAAGTCATTTCAAAAACCGAAAAGACCAACATCAATTACACACCCCACACTTATAAAAAAAACACATGGTTCTTGCATGATTGAAGGGTTCTTTCCATCGTGAAAGGGTTCTTCAGATTGAAAAAGAATGTGCTGTATATGGTTCTAGACAGAACCTTTTTGAAAATGGTTCTATATAGCACCCAAAAGGGTTTCACTATTCTTACAAGCCCAAGAACCCTTTTTGGTATTATATAGAACCCTTTTTGCAAAGAGTGTAATAAACTGCAACTAAATGATCTTGTTGTGTTAATAAAGCAATAAACCACGAGAGGCTGTGCGATTTTATCACGGGGAAGGGTGTTCTTAAAACTCTCTTCGCTGTGATAAAACCACTAATTCACTGCCTCCAGTGGCTTATTGCTTTTATAAAACAGCGGCCAACATAAAATATATTAAAACACACAATAATTTAGATATTATTTAAGTTATTAATAATAATAATCAACATAAACAAGTATTCCGCCGAGAAACGTAGTTCCTTTAGAGTAGGGTATCACTGCTAAGCAACCACTGACCACTGAATGAGGTGAGGAACGTTCGGTCGCCCATCGCTGTAAACTGCAGACATTTCATGATTTTAAAACTTATTTCGTGTAACAGTGAACATATGATAACACAGCACTGTTTAATGTAAATACCTTCAGTTTTTAAGCACTTTTTGGTCACTAAATCACCACCGCGAGTCTTTCTGCCAGTCTGACGACGCCACTTTTCTCACGCTGAATCTCAAACAGCTCCCTGCTCCCTACATAGTGCACTACATAGGAGTTTAAATACCGACTCCTGCAGCCCAACAGAGCAAAACATCACTAAAAATGGTCATTTGGGATTCATCCACATTCAGACTCGACAGGCAGTGCAGTATCTGACAGCAGAAGCTGGAATTTCTAAACTTACTGTCACACAGCTCACTATTTAGGGAGTACAGAGCCGTTTGGGACTCAGCCTGGATTTGACGTGACTTCTGACTGAAACAGACATTTGAAGCGTGTAACATTCAGGTGACGTTCTTTAGACTTTTATACTGCTGTTTTACAGTTAATCACACTGTAAGTCCTTTAATTCAAGCCTGTGATATTAATGATGGAGCTGTTTAGCTGTTTTGTTATCTTTTAGCCTGTTGGTTAGCTGACCAGCTCAGTTCTAGATAAGAAAATACCTCTTCAGCCACTCAGTGTAAACAGAACCGGGTTCTTACTTCATCAGTACACTCAGTGCTCTGTGTGAGCAGCATTAGAGTCAAAGACTAATCCATTAACAGCAGAAGGGTTTTTCGTAGCGCAGTGATACAGAGTTCAGTCGCTGTGAGGCGGTCAGAGCCGTGGTATATGGTGGATTTTACAATGACTTTGAACGCGGCTCACCCAATCAGATTTCAGGACCAGAACCATCCGTTGTATAAGGGATGTTAGTAAATGATATATAGTGATCTCTGTATTAATGTTATTTGAGTTGTTAAAGGGAAGCTACGTCCATGTTTTCCTTTTCACTGGAGGACATGTCTGATGACGACCATGGCTCCAGTAATCAGTAAGTAACGAGGCTAAAGCTATCAGTGTTGCGAGTTTCAGAGAGAGAGGAAGCGCTCGGCCTTCAGTGGGTCAGACTAACCCAGCCAAAGCAGTGACCTCAGCACTGTCCCCGTTTAATCCCTCCATACTGCCTCAAAGCCCTCTGTCTCATCGGCTCGGCTCACCGCACGGCCCACTGAGCACAGCCGACGCCCTAAACAGCGCTGCTAATACACAGGCCTGCTAATCTCTCAGCTCAGAGAGGGAAGTTTTAACCAATCACTCAGTTACTGAACAGACTTAAAGGTGCAATTTGTAAGATTTTTAGTTCAAAACATTCCAATTAACTAAAATTATAACAGAAATGTGAAGAAATAACAGTTTTGACATTATGTCAAAGATGTCTACGTACGGTGTTGCAGCGAGGAACCGACCGGTCAGGCATAACATTATGACCACCTCATTGTTTCTACGCTCATTGTCCTGATGTGGTGGTGGTGTGTTAGTGTGTGTTGCGCTGGTACGAGTGGATCAGACACAGCAGTGCTGCTGGAGTTTTTAAACACCTCAGTGTCGCTGCTGGACTGAGAATAGTCCACCAACCAAAAATATCCAGCCAACAGCGTCCTGTGGGCAGCGTCCTGTGACCACTGATGAAGGACTAGAGGATGACCAACACAAACTGTGCAGCAGCAGATGAGCTATCGTCTCTGACTTTACATCTACAAGGTGGACCGACAAGGTAGGAGTGTCTAATAGAGTGGACAGTGAGTGGACACAGTGTTTAAAAACTCCAGCAGCACTGCTGGGACTGATCCACTCGTACCAGCACAACACACACTAACACACCACCACCACGTCAGTGTCTTTTGTTTTCTTGTAGTTTTCACGGTGTCTGCTGACGAAATAGAGAGAAATAAATCTTCAAAAGACATCAGAACGAGGCATGGCCGTTAATTGTAGCTACACGGCTAAAAACGAAAAGCTGAAATAGTTTCTAATCACTTACACAGAACTTTCTACTTTCTAAAATTAAAGGAAGGATGAGTTTCACTAAAAAAGCAAAGAAAACTCACCTGCATGTTTCCTTTTTTCTACAGTAAACGGGTTTTGGGCAGCAGGACGCCAACATTACTGCTACTGAGTGCTGATTGGTTGGCGAGCGGAGCATCTCATTGGCTGATCGTGCTCACTGACGTCATGAACGTACATGAGGCGCCGTTTTAAACTCCTATAACTCGAGTTTAAAAGCTCTTAAAAATATAACAGCAGTGTTAAAATGTTTCTGTGTTCAGGAAATTAATGTATTATTTTACATTAAAATATGTTTAAACATTTATAAACTATGATTTTGTTAAAATTCTCCATATTAAACTATTCATTTTGGACTCGCTCAGCAGCGCCCCCTAGCGTCTGAGAAACCCGGAGGACATTACAAAGTAATAATTCTCCTCTCTACAAGATGTCTGGGGGAGGAGTGAAGATAGAGGAGGAGGAGGGACTCAGCACTTCCTTGTTTCTTACGATAGGGGTGGACACCACAACTTTCTGGTGCCCCCTATTTGTCTGGAGTGTGGAGCATAATTTCGGCAGGTCTTACATAATCGCTAAAAAATAAACACTAAACCGAACGTTTAAAATCAAAAAGTCGTTTTGCCCTTTAAACTTGATTATGTGGTTTCTGAGACTGTATGACACACACACCACAACAATTATGGTTCTTCAAGGGTTCTTTAGTGAAGAAAACAGTTCTATGTAGAACCATGAACACTCTTTGCATGATTAAAGGGTTCTTTGCACCGTGAAACGGCTCTACAGACTGATGGAGATTGTGCTGTATATGGTTCTATATTGAATCTTTTTGAAAAGGGTATGTAAGAGCCAAATTACCCCCTGGGCAGAACCGGCCTCATCAGTGGAGAACCACTTCAGCATGGCTGGATCTCAGACCTGCGGAGAAAGAAAAGGAAAGAAACACACAATCCATTAGAATAAATTAGGAACACAAACACTTACAAAAATTAAAACACACCCAAAATAATCTCTCTAACTCAGACCTTCATCTAAAAGTATAAGGCACACCAATGTTACTCATCTCTTCACTTTATCTTCTACAAAATGTCACTTTTTTAAATTTATTACTACGTTAATCTTGTGTTTTTGCTTTTATGAAAAGCGCTTTATAAAGTTACAGAACATATATTCTAATGCACGATATTCAAGGAAAAGAAGAACCAGAAAAAATTAAATATATCACTTTTTCAATAAATCTGCTTCAAAATTTTACAAGAAAAATTAAAACAACATAGAAAAAAAATTATAAAAATATAGAATTATAACTTGGCTGGAAAGTAAGAGAGACTACAAAAGTGTCTCCTAAGTTTAAAAATTACTTTCTGAAATTAACAAAAAAAAAAAATTCTCAAAACCAATAAATAAACAAACAAGTATAAAAATTCATTAAAAATAACAGAAGCCTAGTTAAACACACGGCATTCTCCACTAATCCGCTCAGGGTGACTCAACCTTTCCGAGTGGAATAATGTGACTGAATAGCCAGTGCGGCTGTTCACAGCTGTTTACTTTGAGTTTATAAAGTAAGGTAACTGTGCAGTGAGGAGGAGACGGAGGACAGCTCTCCCTCAGCGCGCAGTGAGACACTGAAACAGTCACCAGTGACTTCAGCCACGTCATCAGATCAGTATTCAAATATTGATGAGGAGCAGTGAGTACGGATATCACTGACAGTGTCTCTACACGTCCATCACATATAACGCGTCCAGAATCCACCAGTACTGATAAATCTGACCACCTGAAATCAGCATGGCCTGCTGGACTGACCTGGCGACTCCATCTTAGTCTGTGTTAATGAGGAGGATTTATAAAACCTGAGAAAACTGAGACATGGACTGTACACGGGACACAGAGCAGGCAAGACAAGATTAGTTAAAGCTGAAAATCAAAATTTTGCACAAGGTACGACGCAGAATGCAGCAGAATGCTTTACAACCCTGTATGATGCAGCAACACATGGTAGCATATGGTGGAACGCAGTAGAACGCAGTACAATGCAGCACAAGGCAGAAGAACACTGTGCAACATGACACAACGTGGCAGAATGCAGCAGAACGCTAAAGCTAACAAGCATTAGAACACAGTACAACACAGCAGGACACAGGGCACCAAGGTACAACGCAAAACAATGCAGCAGAGCGTACAAAATGCAACAGAACTCGGTACAAAGCGACACAACACGATAGAACGCAGTACAGTTCAGCAGAACGTGGCCCAACAACATATGATCCCGTAGAATGCGGCCCAACAACATACGGAGCAGCATAACACGGCCCAACGACGTACAGAGCAACAATGTATGGTGCAGCAGAACATGGCCCAACAACGTATAATCTGGCAGAGCGCGGCCCAGCAAGGCACGACGCGGCAGAGCGCGGCCCAGCAAGGCACGACGCACCAGAGCGCGGCCCAGCAAGGCACGACGCACCAGAGCGCGGCCCAGCAAGGCACGACGCAGCAAGGCAGACACAGTAGAACGGGGCCCAACAACATACAGAGCAGCAGAACTCTGCCCAACAATCCACAATGCAGTAGATCGTGGCCCAACAATGTATGACCCAGTAGAACACGGTCCAGCAAGGCACGACGCAGCATAATGCGGCACAAAAACGTACGGAGCAGCAGTACTCAGCCCAACAACGTACGACTCAGTAGAACATGGCCCAACAAGGTACGTATGACAGTAGTGCATGGTACAATGTGTTATAATGACACAGTAGAACGTGGAAAACGCAGTACAACACTGCTGCAGAACGGCCCACACAAGAACCATTCGCTGCACCTGCAGCATAAAATCCAACAACTTTACAAAGTCATAAAACCCTGTGGTTCCAGTGGTCTACCGCAGCGTTTCCAGCTCCAGCCCTGGAGACCCCCCGAACCACACAGCTGAATGTTTTCCTGCTGTAACTGATTCAGCTCCAGAAGAGGTTGATGATTAGCCAATGATCCGACTCTGTTCCAGCAGAGAAATCACAAAACTAAACAGCACAGAGGACAAACGCCAACACAGAGGACACAGAGAAAATCCATTCAGCACCAGAGGAGCTGGAGATCTGGACAAACGGCCAGACGAATCTCAGTTCCTGGTGTTTCACGGCGATGTGGTCTTCACTGTTTCTTAAAAAAGGTTATTATAAGATTTAAACATTCAGAAATCAACAGGAGAGCTGCATCTGCAGCAAACCAGCAAACACAATGCAGTCAACACAGGTTTGATTATCTTTTGTAGCTAATTAGCATACAGTGAAGATGAGCGAGCGGCTCGAGTCAGGCCATTCAAAACCATTCACAGTGGTGGTGATAGGAACCAGACGTCCACATCTAAAAGCTCCCTCACAGGAAGTTACTACAGGAAATGGTTATGAATTCACTGCCTGATGACTGAGACACTGTTTTATGATAGTTTAGAGAACTTAAACTCCATTCATGGTGGAGGGATACATGCAGGGCGCTGTGAGGCAAAATAGTCCCCAAAGAAAACTTATTATTTCAGATTTTCCACTATTTTCCATCATCATCATTCCATATAAACTCAGAAGACTCGTGTAGGTTCACTGGTGGTTTCGGATAGTAAATAAAATGTCTATATTTGTGTTGTAGTCATGGCGACCCCTGGTTCCTATCACCACCACTGTAAAGACATCTGAACCATTTCACACCAAACCACTCTGAATCACTCTGTTTACATCTCACACACTGGATTATGTATGAAAATTGAAAAACCTGTGGAACTGCTGGACCATGCAATAACAAACACTGGACTACAGCATGTACATAATTATGGGTCTACATGTGTGTCACACACTGGCATCTAAACATCACCACCAGTCAGGTGTGTCCCCTTCACTGTAGGAGTATATCACCGATCAGGCATGACATTCTGACCACCTCCTTGTTTCTACGCTCATTGTCCATTTTATCAGCTCCACTTACTATATAGGTGCACTTTGTAGTTCTACAGTTACAGACTGTAGTCCATCTGTTTCTCTGATACTTTGTTAGCCCCCTTTTACCCTGTTCTTCAGTGGTCAGGACCCCCATGGACCCTCACAGAGCAGGTACTATTTGGGTGGTGGATCATTCTCAGCACTGCAGTAACACTGACATGGTGGTGGTGTGTTAGTGTGTGTTGTGCTGGTACGAGTGGATCAGACACAGCAGTGCTGCTGGAGTTTTTAACACTGTGTCCACTCACTGTCCACTCTATCAGACATGCCTACCTTGTCGGTCCACCTTGTAGATGTAAAGTCAGAGGCAGTAGCTCATCTGCTGCTGCACAGTTTGTGTTGGTCATCCTCTAGTCCTTCATCAGTGGTCACAGGACGCTGTTGGCTGGATATTTTTGGTTCTCAGTCCAGCAGCGACACTGAGGTGTTTAAAAACTCCAGCAGCACTACTGTGTCTGATCCACTCAGACCAGCGCAACACACGCTAACACACCACCACCACGTCAGTGTTACTGCAGTGCTGAGAATGATCCACCACCCAAATAGTACCTGCTCTGTGAGGGTCCATGGGGGTCCTGACCACTGAAGAACAGGGTGACAAAGTATGCAGAGAGACAGATGGACTACAGTCTGTAACTGTAGAACTACAGAGTGAAACTATATGGTCAGTGGAGCTGATAAAGTGGACAGTGAGTGTAGAAACAAGGAAGTGGACTTAAAGTGCTTAGTGAGTGTATACTGACAAAAGCAGGACTGGATCAAGGATTCAAGGTTGGCGGAAGAAACATCAATAACCTTTGATATGAAGATGATGACACTCCTAGTGGAAAGCCAGGAAGACCCGTAGGTCCTTATGGACAGCTTTAACACATTCAGATCAATTATTAACAAGAGTATTCATCAAGAAATACAACACAGATCGGGGCTCAGCAGAACAAGGATGAAGGAGCTTGAAAAGATCTTCAAATGCATCGATTTGTCTCTACAAACAGAGATCAGAGCCGTCCAGGCTGCGGTCTTCTCTGGGGTTTCTTTATGGATGTGAAAACAGGACAATAAACAAGCAAAACTGGAAAAATATAGGTGCTTTTGAACTTTGGTTTTAGCAAAGACTTCTAAAAAGAACCTTGAATGGCAAAGAAAACAAACGAATGGATCCCAGACCAAATTGAGCCTCACCTCTTACTCAGAGCCCAGATAACCGAACTGAAGTTCTCATTTTGGACACATTCTGAGATGAACCAGTTCACTGGAAAAGACGTTCGGAAGAGCTGACAGTAAAAGAGAAGGAGTAACAAGATGGATACAATCAGAGGAATCACGAAAAAGATCAATATTCTAGAGCAGAGGTCACTAATAGGCGGACTGCGGTTTGAGTCCGGACCCAGATGCTGTCCTATGCAGACCTGGACCTATTAACAATAAACTGTGGAGAATTATTTAATTTCGACAGGGTGGTCCTACTTTAATCGGCGTATCATTTCTAGTCATTACGGTACCGTTTTTAGGGCCGGGAAACTCACAGACCAATCGCATGCGTTGTAAATATCACACGTGATGCTACTCAGCCAATCAGATCTGTGCATTACGATGAGCACTGAGACTCGAGTGAGTGACGCACACACAGGGGAGGGACGAGGCGAGACACAGCAGTCAGAGAAGAAAGTGAGTCAGATTATTTTACATGACTCTAAAAAGAGAAAACTGACAGTAAATATTGTTGAAATATGACTGAACTGTACTTTATTTGATTTGATATTCAGTTGTTGACTGTGTAAGATGCTGATATACCTACTAGGCTACTTCAGTAAACAGTATATGGCACTGAATCATGATGCAGGTTGGACATTATGATGTTCTGGACCTTTGTCTGAGCAAATTTTCTTTATCTAGACCTTATTGAATTTTAATTAAAGAGCCCTAAACTAGAGGAACACTGTAAATATGGGCACCAGGAGTCAGAAGCAACATGACATCACTTTATTATAAAAATAACAATAATAATAATAATAAAAATAATAAGTAAAGCTTTCAGACATAAAGGCCCATCTCATGGATGGAAAACTGAATCTCAGTCGCTTTTTCAAAATAAAAGCGCTCCTGAAGGCTTTGGTGAAGATCTGCTCAGGTGAACCAGGTGTGTCAGAGCGGAGCTGGACTCCTCTGGGTTGGAGATGAATGCATTTGTGTCGAGCACGGCCATGTGACAGAGGAAGAAGAGCAGGCCAAACCGGCTCTGGCCCTTCCTTGACAAGGGCAAGAGGCTGAAATTAGCTCCTTTAGCGGATTTTCCGTTCCACCTTAAATGTTGCCGCAGTTGCTGCACCATTTAAGGTGGAATGGAAAATTCGAGACAACTTCAGCTTCGTCCAGGAGGCCAGTGTCAGCCTTTCTGCTCCACAAAACACATTTAACACAGCAAATCTGCACAAAACAGGGTGATACTGATCTCTGGAGCGGTCCTTATGACTGCTAATGCTGAGGAATGTCACCACCAACCTCCAGCTGGCAAATCCCAGATGATTAACATTAGCCATAGCAGCTATCCCTGAGTCAGAGAGCTAAAACAGAGCCACAGACTCATAACTGTAATAAACAAATGGAGAACTGGACCATATAGCGCAGTTATGCTGATATAAACACGCTACAGTTCAACGTAAACAACATTAACAGCCTGAACATTGAGCACTAACTGAAATACGACGGGGACACAACGAGCTTAACCAGCAGACACAGACAATAAGTTACTAAATAAAGAGGTGTTACGACTAATTTGACGACGGTTTACCTGCTGGTCAGTATCACAGACTGTCCGATATGTTCTGGGGCGAGTTCTGCTCTCCTACATGTCTGTAAACGCGACGTAAAATTGTGAGATAATCGTCACTCCTCATCTGCGCCTCCTGGAAGCCATCTTAGTCAGGTGGGCAAACACGTCTGCGGCGCATGCGCACTCGCTTGATTCACGTTGAGTCGGTTCATTTGAACAGATCGATTGGGCCAATTCACTGACCGACTGAATCGAACATTTTTGTTGGTTAAAATTGAAAGTGTTAAACGACAACCAGCTAAAGGTGAGGCTGACTGCTTCATATTTCTCCCGTTATATATCAAACACATGACTGCAAAACACGGACAAAACACGGAGTCGACTCGTAACATTTCGACTCTCCAACCAACAGTCGGCCCTGTCTCCACAGACGCGCTGGAGTCGAAGAATCGACTCTTTGGGAATCGATACTACCAATTGAGTCCTAAATTACTGCTATTTGATCTTTGGCATTACTGCTACTGAGCGCTGATTGGTTAGCATTACTGCTACTGAGCGCTGATTGGTCAGCATTATTGCTACTGAGCGCTGATTGATTAGCTTTACTGCTACTGATCGCTGACTGGTCAGCATTACTGCTACTGAGTGCTGATTGGTTAGCTTTACTGCTACTGAGCGCTGATTGGTTAGCATTACTGTTACCGAGTGGTGATCGGTTAGCGTTACTGCTACTGAGTGCTGATTGGTCAGCATTACTGCTACTGAGCGCTGATTGATTGGCATTACTGCTACTGAGGGGATTCCTTGTTCATAAATGTAGTATTGAAAAAATGTAAAAATGCACTTTTCTATATAAAAAATTATTTTTTTTCCGTTTATAGTCCATTTATTACATTTGTTTGGCTTTATGTGCCAAAAACGGTCGTGATTCGTTTTTTATACACAGTCAATTTCCAACCTTTCCTTGTCACTTGGAAGTAAACAGGCTGCTTTTGTTCCTGTGTCTTTAAGACTGATATATGTAAATGAGCTGTGCTCTGATTGGCTGGCTCATTCAAAAGCAGTCTGAGATGGAAAAACTGTATATCTTCAGTGTAAATGGGTGGGGCTGAACTGATGTGGACTTAATAGGTGGATATGTAAATTATTTAAATTTTCATGACATCACAAAAACAATAAATTCAAACCTGGCTGATTTTAAAGCGTAGTGTCCATATATAGACTGTATGGACTATAAAGTGATGTATGTTTTGAAACTTTAACAATTAAATCAAACTCTTTTGTTAACAAAAAGTAAGATAAATCAGTTTTTCCAGGATATGGGCCCTTTAAAGTGATACTGTCCAAGCAAACTCAAGACAAAAAATAAGACAGTGAGTGAACTAAGAAGGGGGGTTGTTGCAGTTTTAGCCCAGTTTTATCAAACCTGCACTGGTTGCCAGTTAAATTTCACATCGATTACAAAATTCCTTTACTGACCTATAAAGCTCTAAACGGACTCGCCCCTCAGTACCTGAGTGACCTTCTCTCTCACTATGAACCATCACACCTACTTAGATCACAAGGTGCTGCTCACTATTAGTCCCTAGAATTAATACAGTTACATCAGGGGGCGGAGCTTCTCATACAAAGCCCCCCAGCTTTGGAATAATCTTCCAGTCAGTGTTCGGGACTCAGACTCAGCCTCAGTGTTTAAGTCTAGGCTAAAACCCCACTTGTTTAGTGGAGCCTTTGGTAATTAGTTTTCCCTGTCAGATAAAAGGTGCAGATCTGGGGTTCATGGTCATAGAGTATGATGGTAAACTGGGAGTGTTGGTGCCGTCGTCCCGTGCTCTCACTCACTTACTCACTCAGGTTTGTTGACGGTGGAGTGGAGGGGCGCCGACATCTCAGGGAGCCTCATGTCAACCTTTCTGGTTTCTCCCTCTTAGTTAGGCTGTAATATCTAGACCTGCCAGAGTCTCTGCTGCTCTGTTAACCCTGTAATCTGTGATCAGTCACTCTGTACAGAACTGACTCTCTGTGTGTTTCCTTTCTTTGCCGAGTTGAACAGCTGCTCATCCTGTGGGTCTGATGCTGTTGCTTCTTCTGCCTTGATTGGGTTCCCACTGCTCGCCAGCCTTCTGGACCATTTCAGCCTACTGGACCGTTTTGACCACCATGGAGCTTCACGCTGTGCAACGTTGTGCAAACCTCACCCTCATGAACTGACCCTCCTGCTGCTGCTGCTGCATGAACTCAAACTATCTAATTAACCATTGCTCCACCTGTTTTTCCCTGTTTTGTTCTATAATACTTTATATTAACACTGTTTACTATCCGGTGTCGACCAGAGGAGGATGGGTTCCCCTTTTGAGTCTTGGTTCCTCTCAAGGTTTCTTCCTCTTGCTCTTAGGGAGTTTTTCCTCGCCACTGTTGCCATTGGTGACGCTCATGGGGGCTCAGACCTGGATTTTTCTGTAAAGCTGCTTTGTGACAACACCTGTTGTAAAAAGCGCTTTATAAATAAACTTTGACTTGACTTGACTTGTTGGGTGTTTATGTGCATTTCAGCTTTATATGAGTGCGTTCTCATGTCTGACTAGTAACCCAGTCGGCTCTTTTGAATCTGTTCTTTTCAATAAACTGATTGAACAGATTCACAGGCCGAGCTGAATCCAACTTTTCTCCTTTTAGCAGTATTTGCACAATGTTTATGTATGCGTAGCTAGTACAATTTATATATATTATATATATATATATATATATATATATATATATATACACGTTTTCACAATTGAATCTAATAAATTGTAACTTAAAACTTCACAATTTATCGTTTGTATTCTGTTATCTGCAGGATTATGGAACATTACAGCAACCTGCACACATTAAAAATGAAAAATGATGGTCTCTTTTGAAAGAGAGGTCAAATAAGGCTGTAATAAACATAACAAACCATAGATCAACATGAACTTGCTCACACTGGATGTTGGCCTGTGCTTTTCCTACAGGCCGGTTGGGTATCAGTTACTCTCAGGACAACCAGAAAGAGACGACCAAGTGGGATGCACAATAAATATTACATAAAGTTGAGTCAAATCATTTATTTTGTGCAAAATCTAAAGGAAAACAAACCAAACGAAAACAAAATCTGGGAACAGCGCCAAAGGAAACACAGTCCAGCTGCACTCGGGCAGGGTTCAGTGTCTCCCTGCTTTAATACTCTTGATTAAACTCATTATCGCACTATCAAGCCCTTAAGGAGCGAAAACAGAAGAGTTATAGTAGGGAAAGTGTTACCGTGCAGTGCTGTGGAATTACAGGAGCGCAGCTGCTGGAATATGGAGAATGTATATAAGTAATAGCAATTCCTGTCCACCAGGGGGCAGAAAAAGGCAACACACAAACAGACCAACGAGGTTTAATCGAAAAGAGAAGAAAGAAGGATAAAGGCCAGTTTAGGTCTTGCGACATTTTGCTTTGACTTACTGGCCACATTATTAGAAATACTTCCCTTGTGCTTCCACTAACTGGCCACTGGGTGTTTTTAATAAAGTGGTCAGTTAGTGGAAGTACAAAGGAGGTGTTTCTAAAAAAATGGCCAGTGAGTGGAAGTACAAGAGAGGTGTTTCTAATAAAGTGGCCAGTTAGCAGAAGTACAAGGGAGGTGTTTCTAATAAAGTGGCCAGTGAGTGGAAGTACAAAGGTGGTGTTTCTAATAAAATGGCCAGTTAGCGGAAGTACAAAGAAGGTGTTTCTAATAAAAAGGCCAGTGAGTGGAAGCACAAGAGAGGTGTTTCTAATAAAATGGCCAGTTAGCAGAAGTACAAGGGAGGTGTTTCTAATAAAGTGGCCAGTGAGTGGAAGTACAAGGGAGGTGTTTCTAATAAAGTGGCCAGTGAGTGGAAGTACAAGGTAGGTGTTTCTAATAAAGTGGCCAGTGAGTGGAAGTACAAGGTAGGTGTTTCTAATAAAGTGGCCAGTGAGTGGAAGTACAAGGGAGGTGTTTCTAATGAAGTGGCCAGTGAGTGAAAGTACAAGGTAAGTGTTTCTAATAAAAAGGCCAGTTCGTGCATGAGGTGGGTGTTTCTTATAAAATGGCCGGTTAGCGGAAGTACAAAGGAGGTGTTTCTAATAAAATGGCCAGTTAGCAGAAGTACAAGGAAGGTGTTTCTAATAAAGTGGCCATTTATAGAAGCGCAAGGTAGGTGTTTCTAATAAAGTGACCAGTTTGTGGAAGTACAAAGGAGGTGTTTCTAATAAAAAGGCCAACTAGTGGAAGCATGAGGTAGGTGTTTCTAATAAAGTGGCCAGTGAGTGGAAGTACAAGGGAGGTGTTTTCATTTTCTAACCTAGAGGACCATATTTCTGAAAAGGCTGAACCGAATGAGAATGAGAGCAGTTGAAATGCATTATTCAGGATAGGATTCCTCTGTATAAGCAGAGCTGTATAATAACTCACCGCTGCTGTAATGATGAACGTGGGGAGATTACTGAGATTTCATAAAAGTTGTCAAACATGGTTTAGAAATATCAGAAAAATGGGGCTCTGTGTCACATCACGTATTTCACATATCATGACAGTAAAGCTAAGCTTTTCTTCCTGAGCTGAACAGTATTTGTGAGCAGCATCCACAGACATCTGCAGGCCAGATGGCACAGCTACCTTACAGTTATGAGTTCTGTTATTAGGTTCTGTGTGTTGGATCAGTTTACGTAGCTCAGAAGATGCTTCTGTTTGGCTCTGAGCGAAAATGCAGATCCAAAAATCTGATTCACACACTTTTCCTTCATCCCGAGAACAGTCGGTCTAAGAAATGGACAAACTGTCACGTACACTCTTAAAGATGGTTCTCCAAGGGTTCTTTAGTAAAGGCAATGATTTAATTTATAGATAGAGCCTTGAGTTCTGCATAGAACCATTGTGTGCTTAAATGGTTCTTTGCATGGTGAAAGGGTTCTAATGTGTTGTATATGGTTCTACACAGCACCAAAAAGGGTTCTGTTGTTGTTACAGTGTCAAGCTTGTATCTTTTTGGTACTATATAGAACCCTTTTCAAAAAGGGAACCATATGCAAGACATTCTCCATCAATCTGAAAAATGATTTGATCATGCAAAGAACAATTTAGACATGCATATGGTTATTTGACTGCTTAAGGTTCTGTATTAAAGAACCCTTGAACAACCATTTTTTAAGAGTGTATATAGAGCCATTTCATGCTTAGATGGCTCTCTGTAGATGGTTCTATATGGAACCTTTTTGAAAAGGGTTCTATATAGCACCAAAAAGGGTTCTTCTATCATAACAAGCCTGACATCGTGACAATAGAAGAACCCTTTTTGGTGCTGCGTTGAACCCTTTTCAGAAAGGTTCTACACAGAAACATCTACAGCACATTCTCCATCAGTCTGAAGAACCCTTTCTCAAAGGGAATGGAAAGGGTTCTTTGATTGACATAGTTCTATATAGAACCATTTATGAAAGAACCCTTCAAGAACCATCATTTTTAAGTATGTATTCAGGTGAAGAACTCTTTTTAGTGCTATATAGAACCATACAACACATTCTCCATCAATCTGAAACATTTCATCATGCAAAGAAGCATTTAGGTATTCAAATGGTTCTTTGGGTGTTCATGGTTCTGAATAGAACCATTACCTTTGAGAACCCTTGAAGAACCATCTCTTTAAGAGTGTAGCAGTAGCCAACATGAAGCCTGGCCTTTGTCCAGTTTACAAGATGTCTTAGTCGTGCAGTTAGCACCAGGCTAATTGGTGGGGTATAAGCTTGCATTACTTGTTAGCTACATTAGCTTCATAGCTTCAGCGCTAAAACTAAAGAAGCAAATTTTGGACACCAAACAGAGGCAGGGGAGCCTAAATCAATACTCAAGTAAAAGTAGTGATCCACTCAGACCAGCACAACACACAACCACCACGTCAGTGTTACTGCAGTGCTGAGAATGACCCACCACCCAAATAGTACCTGCTCTGTGAGGGTCCATGGGGGTCCTGACCACTGAAGAACAGGGTAAAAGGGGGCTAACAAAGTATCAGAGAAACAGATGGACTACAGTCTGTAACTGTAGAACTACAAAGTGACCCTATATAGTAAGTGGAGCTGATAAAATGGACAGTGAGCATAGAAACAAGGAGGTGGTCAGAATGTTATGCCTGATTGGTGTATGAGCATCATGTTTTATGAAGAGCCTTTAAAGGAGAGTTTAAGAAGAGATGAACAAATGGAGAGAATGACTTCAGACCACAGGGGGTTAATAAAAACACTAAAGCTCTGACGCCAGAGATGTGATTCATCTCAAAGCAGTACAGATGCTGTCAACAACAAAACAGCCTAAAATTAAACACAAAAAGGTAGTAGTAACTAAAAAAGGACAGCTACAATGTAACTGAGTAGAAGTCGACTCCTTTAATCATTAATATACCTGAGTAGAAGTTAGAGTATTATAATTTAAAGATACTCTGGAGAGCACGAATCAGTCTTTACTGACGTGCATGTACTTGAGTAAATGTAACTAGTTACTACCCACCTCTGGACACCAAAGATGTCCTGACTGATCACCTACATTTGGGGTGAGAGGGGGAAACTGGGGGGATTTACTTGCTGGCCACAGGAAAGAGGCAGAGCTGTTCCGGAACTCAGGTTTGCACCTCGTTATCACTCTCTGGTCTTCCTCTCCTCGTTTACTTGTGAATTTTGAACTAGAAGACAAGAAGAGGAGACCAAAAAAGTTCTGTGATGCAAAGAAAGAAGCTGAAAGAACCTGTGATGTAAGAATGTAAGACTAATCCTGGACTACAACTCACTGTTGAATTATTATCTCTTCTGATCTTACAGGAGAATTTCTCTGATTTTTCTAAATTATTTCATAATTAAATGGTTGAGATGTAAACAGAGTCGTTCAGAGTGGTTTGGTGTGAAACGCTCTGTTCTAGATAAACTTAGAGTCAGAATTGTTCACAGTGGTGGTGATAGGAACCAGACGTCCACCTCTAAAAGCTCCTCACAGAAAGTTACTACATGAAATGGTTATGAATTCACTGCCTGATGACTGAGACACTGTTTTATGATAGTTTTGAGAACTTAAACTCCATTCATGGTGGAGGGATACATAATATGCAGGGTGCTGTGAGGCAAAATAGTCCCCAAAGAAAACTTATTATTTCAGATTTTCCACTATTTTCCATCATCAACATTCCATATAAACTCAGAAGACTCGTGTAGGTTCACTGGTGGTTCTGGATAGTAAATAAAATGTCTATATTTGTGTTGTAGTCATGGCGACCCCTGGTTCCTATCACCACCACTGTAAAGACATCTGAACCATTTCACACCAAACCACTCTGCATCATTCTGTTCACACCTCACACACTGAGTTATGGTGAAATTTTGAAACATAGGTGGAATTGCCCTTTAATGTATAGCGATTTTAACTCAACAAACCCTTGCATGATCAAAGGGTTCTTTATGTTGTGAAAGTGTTTCTTACTACTGATGTAGAATGTGCTTTAGATGATTCTATCTAGAACCTTTTTGAAAAAAAGGGTTCTTCTGTCATAACAAGCCTGACATCATAACAACAGAAGAACCCTTTTTGGTGTTACATAGAGCCCTCTTTTAAAAAAAAATTACATAGAACCATCTACAGCACATTCTAGATCAGTCTGTAGAACCCTTTCATGAAGGAAATGGATAGGGTTCTATGAATGCTCATGGTTCTGACAGACAAAGAGGGACAGCAGGCTGAGATGACCACACTGGAAGTCTTTTTTTCTCAGTATTAAGGAGGTTAAAGGCTTGTTGGGGAGAAGTGGGCGTGGCCTCCCCGGCGCTCTGCCGTCTGATTGGCTGTCTCTTTCCGTACGCGATTGGCTCAGAGTTTCTCTGTTTGGTGAACTCGGCACTCCTGCTGGACTTTCAGCACTTCCAGAGCATCGCTGAGTGGTCAGCGCGGCCTCTGGGAGAGTTGCTTTAAAGCGAGCTGCGATGACCACAACATTCACCGGACCTGCGCTGAAGATGGAGCTCATTTCTGTCTGATCTTCTCCAGTTTCTCCACTGCAGCTCCATGAGACTTCAGGATGACCCTCTGCAGGACGCTGGCCTTCCGCCTGTTCGGCTGCTTCTGCGTGTTTTCTGTGTTTTTGTCCGTTTCTGAAGCCACTTCACCTCCAAAAGGACCGATGACCACAAACAGAGTGAGACAGTCGAGGTGGACGGTGGAGAAGAGCAGCAGGTCCAGAACGAACTCCACCACAGTGCAGATAGACCTGAGTGGGTAAGCACTGCATCAGGCTTCTAATTACAGTATGACCATTAATGATCAATATGTGGGTCATTCTACAGAAACGTCCACTTTTCTGTCCCTCCATAGGAGTCACTGGTGTTACTGGTCCTCATTGGTGTTCCACATAATAAAGGAACACCAGGCATTTTAATGAACAGTGCATTTTACAAAATAACTGCTACAGAACATCAAACCACATGTTGTCAATCATGGAATATCCACTAAAATATGGAATTTAATCCATTTGAGTTCTATTTTTTCACAGTTACCTCAGAATAAAGTCGGTCACACCAGTGACTTCAGCTAAAAGCTTCATATGAAATCATGAGCTAAATGAGAAAATCTCTGATAACTGAAAGACTCAGTGGACTCACCATGAGCTTTTCTTCATAGATCCTCAGAAAACAGGTAAAAGAAGTCAAGTGATGTCATCAGTGTGACTTTTATTTCAAAATAAGAGATTTTTTTGTTACGCAGTAACACCAGTGACACGACTCCTGGGGACTTTCATTATATATTTTATAATATTTATTTGTCATTTGTTTTCTTTATGTCATTTAATTCATATATTCCATAGTCATGTATAGATTATTGTAGTTAAAATTGCAGAAAAACATGTTTTTACCTCAAAATATGGCCTCAGCCTTCACACATGACTGTGAGGACGAGCTCTTCTGTGGTGTTTGAATTCTATATGATTGATTTAAAAACTAATATTGCTAAATTGAGGCTCAAGAAGGTGTAATTGTTGAAATAACTTATTGTTTTATTTTGAAATATAAATAAATTGTAACCCTAACATGTTTTTGAAGTGTAATATATCTGTAAACACTAGGGACACAATAATGGACGTTTCCAGGTGTCACGTGACTTTCAGCACTGCTGCTTATGTGAGGAATTAGTCCTGTTTGAACTGTTGCATGTTCAAAATACTCACTCTTAAAGAAGACGGTTCCTCAAGGGTTCTTTACTAAGGCAGTGGTTCTACATGGAACCATTTGCATGCTTAAATGATTCTTTACATGGTGAAATGGTTCTTTAGATGAAGAATGTGTTGTGTAATGGATTTTTTTGGAACTTTATGGGACCCTTTTCAAAAAGGTTCTATATAGAACCATTCTCCATTAATCTGAAGAATGATTTGACCATGCAAAGAACAATTTAAGCATGCAAATGGCTCTATATAGAACCATCGTCTTTACTAAAGAACCCTTAAAGAACCATCTTTTTTAATAGTGTATATAGAACCATTTTATGCTTAAATGGTTCTCCGCATTGTGAAATTGGTCTTCAGATGAAGAATGTGTTGTATATGATTCTCTATAGTACCAACAAGGGTTCTGCTATTGTTACAATGTCAAGCTTGTAACAGTAGAAGGACCCTTTTGGATGCTGTATAGAAACCTTTTCAAAAAGGTTCTATACAGAACCATATGCAAGACATTGTCCATCAATCTGAAGAACGATTTAAGCATGCAAATGGTTCTTTGAGTGCTCATGGTTCTAGTACCATTGTCTTTACTAAAGAACTCTTGAAGAACCATCTTTTTTAAGAGTGTAAACAGAACCATGCTTAAATTGTTCTTTGCATGATGAAATAGCTCTTCAGATTGATGGAGAATGTGTTCTATATAGCACCAAAAAGGGTTCTGCTATTGTCACAATAGCAGAACCATTTTGTTGCTATGTAGAACCATTTTTAAAATGGTTCTATATAGAACCTTGCTTTTTGAATCAATCTGAAGAGCCATTTCACCATGCAAAGAACCATTTAAGCATGCAAATGTTTATGGTTCTAGTGCCAGTGTCTTTACAGAACCCTTGAAGAACCATCTTTTTGAGTGTATATACAACCATTTCATGCTTAAATGGTTCTTTGCATGATAAAATGACTTTTCGGATTAGTGGAGAATGTGTTGCATATGGTTCTATATAGCACCAAAAAGGGTTCTTTTATTGCTACAAGCTTGGCATCGTAACAATAGCAGAACCCTTTTTGGTGCTATAAAGAACCATATACAACACATTCTCCATTAATCTGAAGAACTGTTTCACCTTGCGAATGGTTTGTGTAGAATTTATGGTTCTAAATAGAACCATTTCCTTTACTAAAGAACCCTTGAAGAACCATCTTTTTTAAGTGCGTAGAATACAAATAGTAAACAAATTATAGTTATATAAATGTATATAAGGTACTTTTCAATCATCAGAACAAACTTCGCTTCATTTACAGTCAAAACAGCCAAAGTACAAGTTTCATTTTTCAACGTCAGGAAAAAAACAGATATTTAACAGAAAATTACCCAAAATCCTCGACAGCTAAATCTACTCTCAGCTGTTTGAGTCAGTGAGTCACTCTTTACCTTTATTGCAGCTTCCATTATTTTCAGGAGACTCACTTTCAGTTCCTCAAAGAATCTGCAGACTCACCTCCAAAGTTCAGTCTTAGAAGCTGGATCAGCATTTTCTGCTTTTTGCAATCCAAGTTATACCACTGCCCAAGCAATACCTTAGCAACCACCTGGGATACCTTAGCAACAGCCATGCAACTACCTGAGATTCTACAGTAATGGCCTAGCAACACCTAAAATAGCATAGCAACACTTTAGCAACCACCTGGGACAATATTGCAACACCTTAGCAACCACCTGGGATAAGAAAGGAACAGCCTGGCAACACCTTAGCAACCACCTGGGATACCATAGCAACAGCCTAGCAACCACCTGAGATTCCACAGTAATGGCCTAGCAATGCCTAAGGTAACATAGCAATACTTAGCAACCACCTGGGACAATATTGCAACACCTTAGCAATCACCTGGGACACCATAGCAACAGCCATGCAGCTACCTGAGATTCCACAGTAATGGCCTAGCAACACCTGAAATAACAGCAACACTTTAGCAACCACCTGGGACACCACAGCAACAACCTAGCAACACCTTCACAACCACCTGGGATACCATAGCAATAGCCTAGCAGCCACCTGAGATTCCACAGTAATGGCCTAGCAACGCCTGGGGTGACATAACAATACCTTAGCCACCACTTGGGATGCCATAATAATGGCATAGCAACACTTAAGCAACCACCTGGGACACCATAGCAACAACCTAGCAACACCTTAGCAACCACCTGGGATACCATAGCAAGAACCTAGCAACACCTTAACAGCCACCTGAGATTCCCAAAACACATTCAGTGGTGTTGAGGTCTGGACTCTGGGGTGGTCAGTCCATTGTTCAGCTTCTTTGTTTGATGTGTCCGTCTCCTTTTCTCAGTGAGGTTCTTCTTGATCAGCTACACATCCTTTCAGACCCACAGCGCTGAGTCGTCTTCTCACAGTGGAAGGATGGACAGAAACACCTGTGGATGTTTTCAGATCTGAAGCAGCTTGATTTTCTCCTCTCTCTCAGAGATGAAAGCTTTAAGTGCTGTTTGTCTGATGGGGGCAGTTTTGGGGTCGACCAGCTCTTCCAGGTGGTTGTTAGGAGCCCCATTTTCTCTGGAGCTTTTAATCAGTTTTTAGAAATATCTCCTGGAAAATTTAATGGCTGTTTTGACTGGAAATTAAATAAGTGAAGGGTAAACAAACAAGATAACAACAAGTAAACCCAGTGTACATTTACAACAGTATAGATCAGGTGGGAAACGACTGTAGAGGTGCAAAATGTGTAAGATGACAAACATCCCATGCAAAACATGCAGAATATACAACTGTGTGAGTCCAGAATCCAGTAAAAGGTGTAAAATCCACAGGGGTGAAAGAAGCCCCTGTTCGGAGCTGTTTAGTGGGGGCTACTGTAGGTGGGAGGAAGCTTTCTCAGCTGCGTGTTGGTTTACTTTACATAAAGTTCAGTTTTCCTGAAAAGAAAAACTCCATAATCTTTACATAACGTTTACCTGCTGTGTCCGTAACACACGGTCAGTTATTATGGACGTTAACTTTGATGTGAATTTAGAAACACACAGGAAACCTCTGCATGGTGAAATGGTCCCTCAGATCGATGGGGAATGTGCTGTATGTGGTTCTACAGCACCAAAAAGGGTTCTTCTGTTGTTATGATGTCAAGCTTGTAATAGTACAAGATCACTTTGTGGTGCTGTATAGAGTCGTTTTGGTTCTTTACATGTTTAAAGTTCTTCAGATTGATGGAGAATGTGCTGTGTTTGGTTCTATATAGAGCCTTTTTGAAAATGGTTCTATATAGCGCAGCAGCAGAACCCTTTTTGGTGCTATATAGAACCATATACAGCACATTCTCCATCAATCTGAAGAACCGTTTCGCCATGCAAAAAACAATTTAAGAATACAAATGCTTCAATGTATAATTAATGGTTATAAATAGAGCCAGTCCCTTTACTAAAGAACCCTTGAAGAACCGTCTTTTTCAGTGTGTACTGTAAGTTGTGTGTATGTTGATTTAAGTCTGGTGAGGAAGAGGACACAGCAGTGCTGCTGGAGTTTTTAAACACTGTGTCCACTCACTGTCCACTCTATTAGACACTCCTACCTTGTCGGTCCACCTCGTAGATGTAAAGTCAGAGACGATAGCTCATCTGCTGCTGCACAGTTTGTGTTGGTCATCCTCTAGTCCTTCATCAGTGGTCACAGGACGCTGCCCACAGGACACTGTTGGCTGGATATTTTTGGTTGGTGGACAATTCTCAGTCCAGCAGAGACACTGAGGTGTTTAAACACTCCAGCAGCACTGCTGTGTCTGATCCACTCAGACCAGCACAACACACACTAACACACCACCACCACGTCAGTGTTACTGCAGTGCTGAGAATGATCCACCACCCAAATAGTACCTGCTCTGTGAGGGTCCATGGGGGTCCTGACCACTGAAGAACAGGGTAAAAGGGGGCTAACAAAGTATCAGAGAAACAGATGGACTACAGTCTGTAACTGTAGAACTACAAAGTGCACCTATATAGTAAGTGGAGCTGATAAAATGGACGATGAGTGTAGAAACAAGGAGGTGGTCA